CACATCCAGTGCCACACTGCGAGCAGTACGAGCTCGTTACTGACGCATCACAAGTCGCGGTGGGTGCCGCGCTCCATCAGATTGTGGACGGAGTACCCGTTCCCATTGGCTTCTTTTCACGGAAGCTCAGTCAGGCCCAACAGAAGTACGCCGCGTATGACAGAGAGCTACTCGCGGCTTATCTGGCCACACTCCATTTTCGTGACATGATCGAAGGCCGCCACGTTACCCTGCGAACAGACCACAAGCCACTCGTGCGCGCTTTTCACAGCCCGCACACGGCTAAGTCTGACCGCCAACAGCGTCACTGGTGTGTCGTCACGGAATACATCACGGAGGTCTCGTACATTCGTGGCAGTGACAACGTGGTGGCGGACTGCCTCAGTCGCCCGGTACATGCAGTGTCCCTCGATGCATGTGACCTCCATTTTATCGCGGCGGCTCAGAAGCAGGAAAAGGAGAGAGACGCCGACAGTGCTGATACAGAGCACCAGCATGCCGAGTCAGGTTCAGAATCGCGCTCAAAGCCGCAGGACATCTCCCGATTGGAGCCAGTAACACTGTCTGGCGACATCACAGTCCTGTGTGAAAACACTGCACCACATCCACGCCCGTACGTACCAGAGGCATGCAGGCGCGCCGTGTTTGATCGTTTTCACGGCCTGTCACACCCGGGTAGGAAAGGCACCACCCGTCTCATCAGCTCTCGCTATTTCTGGCATGATATGCGCCGTGACATTGCGCGATGGGTGAAGGAGTGTGAAGCATGCCAGGAAGCCAAGGTGCACAGGCACACTCGTTCTCCGCCCGGTCGATTCGATGTGCCCTCGCAGCGGTTCGAAACTGTACATATAGACATAGTCGGGCCGCTGCCCCCGTCAGTACCCCACGGGCACCCCTTCACCGCGCCATTTCGTTATTTGTTGACATGCATCGATCGCGCCACGCGTTGGGTCGAGGCCGTGCCGTTGGTCTCGATCACCGCGGAAAGTGTAGCCTCTGCTTTCCTCGACACTTGGGTGTCCCGGTTCGGAGTTCCGCTGCATGTTGTCACGGACCGCGGTTCCCAATTCGAATCAGAACTGTTTGCACACTTGTCTTCAATGATAGGTTTCCATCGCCTCCGAACCACTGCTTATCATCCGACATGTAATGGGATGGTGGAACGAGTCCACCGAACGCTCAAAGCCGCCATCCGGGCGCGCAGGCAAGAGTGGCTGCGCGCGCTACCCGTCGTTTTGCTAGGTTTGAGAGCCATGCCAGCAGAGTCGGGTTTTTCGGCATTCACTGCCGTCACAGGCGCGCAGGTGCTGTTCCCCCGCTGCGCCGTCGAGAAGGTCCCCGTCGGGACAAAGTACGTCCAAGAACTGGCCAAGCGTATGTCAGAAATCGATTTCGTCACACTCTCACAGGGCTCGAACCATGCCCGCACACCACCGACACATGTGCCACCCGATCTCATGACATGCACACACGTGTGGGTACGCGTTGACCGCGTGCGGCACTCTCTGGAGTCCCCGTACCGCGGCCCCATGCGAGTCATCAGACGCAGCCCTAAAGTGTTCACGTTGGAGCTGCCGACTGGCGCCCACGACACTGTAAGCGTCGACAGACTCAAACCGGCACACATGCCGCCACCTGAGGACACGCTTGGTCCGAGCAGTACCGAGCCTACGGCTCCGGAGCAGCAGCCGTCACCATCGACCTCGCTCGGGCCCCTCGCCACTGGGGCGCCCGACGAGCCGACACCGACGCCAACGACTACAAGACCGTCCAGCAAGAGGACTTCAAAACCTGGAGTGACGTCTTCCGCATCGCCGGCCAGGGACGACAAGCCGTCCGCGGCTGCGCCGGTGCACACCCGCAGCGGCCGCCGCGTGCAGTTCCGGCCGCAACCGGACTTCCGATACTTTTGAGTGCGCCCGCGTACGTGCGTTCGAGGACGATCCTGATCGCGTGGCGCCGACAGTGAAGTGATAACTGCGTCGCGCGGTGTAGTGATTCTTGCGTCGCGCAGGACCGTGCAGTGACAATTGCGTTGCGCCGTACCGTGTAGTGATTGTTGCGTCGCGCAGTGAAGTGTCGATCGCGTCGCGCCCGGAGTGATGTGAAAAGTGATTGTTTTGGCTTATCGTGTATGCGCTCCGCGCTGAGGCGGTGAGTACTGTGGTAACCACGTGTGTCGCCGGCCGGCACGGGAGTTCCCGGCGCAGACCGATTCGCGCGCCGACTTGTGACGTCGCTACCCCGCCCCGGCGCTGGGGAGGCGGCCCAGGACGTGTCTGTTCGTGAACTTTGTCCCATCACGATGCGACCGCGTGGCTGCGGCCTGCGCTGCCGCAGTGCGTCGGCCAGTGACCAATCCGCGCTCCGATCGGCAGCCACGTGGTGTCCGAGTGCTTCTGCGCATGTCTGGGCCCGGCCCGCTGCGTCGGGCCGCGCGCTTCCCCGGGACTTCTGGCCGAGCTCTTGGCCCGAGCAGACGCGTCACGTCTGGCTCCATTAGGCCCGTTCTGTCCGGGATTTATAACTTAGATTAGGCAGGGCATATTTGGCAAACTTGGATTTCATTCTCGTCTCTTCGTCGCTCCATTGTCTGATTCGCTGTTTCGGTTTTTGCCTTCGTTTTGGAACTTAAAATATAACAACCCGCTCTTTTAATTAATTCTTTTACTTGGGGCCGTTTGGATCGAACTGATTGAATTTTTGGAACACGCACCAGGTTGATATTTTCCATTTCTGATTAACGTAAAATCCAGTCACTGATATGTGGTGAACCGCCCCACAGCACCACACAGCTCAGCAGCGCACTAGCTGTCACCAGCCCGACGACCTGATTTAGCCGTGAAACTTTGAAGAAAACACACCCGACGTCTTCTCGCAACGGACTGTCGACTGACAACTACGGAGGAGACGTTATTGGCACAGAGAGAGACGGTTCTACGCAGTGATCTCTTCTCGCGATTCGACCAATGGCCTTCCGTAGACGAATTTTCGAGAGCACACGTGACGTTCGTACATAACTTTGGAATATATGAGCACAATCGAAGTTGCTGCTGTTATATTACCTATGGTGCGATACTGTTACACAAGCACTTAATTAGGTATTTCACCTGATATTTTACAAGGTCTATTGGTATGATGGAGCCCAGATGAATTGTCATTAAATTTTACAACCGTTCTTAAATTAACAGAGCTACCGGACAGCGGCACGGTGATGGGTATGGATTAAAATAGTGAAAACAGCTGTAAGGACCTCCTCAACTGGGGATTCTATAGAGCTTGAAACGGTTAGAATCATACTTGCAATGTAATCTGTAATTGACAGGCGTGGTTAAATGGACCACGCGTGCTTGATTTAGTTCGAGATAGCTCGCCGCATCTGCAGTTAAAGAGCCACAAGCTGGGCCACTCCCAGCTCAAAATCAAGCACCGGCCACTCCCCAGCGTATTCGTATTCGTATTCGCTCGTATGCCTTGCTCACAGCGCGTTTTCGTGATGCACGACCCCTCCCGTGCCTACCTCGCCGCCGGGGCGCCTGGTGACGGACCATTCCACCGCTGAACCGGCGGGAAACCCGTGACACCGAGGGCCGTTCTCCGTCGACTCCCTCGCCCTTCACGATAGCAAACGGCCGGCGTCTAGCGCGCGTGAGAGCCCGGCGGACGCCGCACTAACAAAGTGACGGCTGGGACGTGAGAGCACGCCGGTGGGTGCCGCCCCTACGGCCGGTAGGGTGATACGGTACAAACGCCGCCGGGCAGTGGATATCACTGACCATAGAGAGCATAAAGTTGGAAGGCTGGCGCGGGCAGCCGTTGCGCTGAGGAACGTTGGCTGAGGGTAGGGCGGAGCTGACTAGATTATGTAGGATTAGCCTACTGCACAGGGTGGAGCAGTGGGTAATGAGTGACGTGCCCTGGAGTGCCATCACCCGACACGGGCGAGGACGAAGCTCACACGAAGCTCAGACAAACCCAGCCAACAGCGAATTATTTCTCGTCCGTCTGAACCATTCAACCAAAACGGTACCCCATCGTCGTGAGCCCGTGTTAAATTTTTAACCGTCCACAAAATTGATAAAGCACATAAGCAACAATGATTATGTTTTTGTTTATCGGAAGGGGCGAATTAATGTTATAGACGGACGTCAGCCACATTTTATGCCTTCAAGAGTAGCTTGACTACTGACATCAAGAGTAGACTTATTTATCATCTCCATGTAAATTCCAGAATATTTCCAGATAGTAATCAGGTAGGAAGGGACTAATTAGACACATAATTGCAGTGCTTGAAATGAACGCATGAACAGCCATCGGCAAATTCATTGCTCTAATGCATGCGATTCGTGAACGGAGATACTTGCGATCATATTCACAACCGCGATCTAGGATATTGCCACAGGAACGCTGCTGTCAGTGCGGTCAGTGCAAAAGCTGAACGGAGTTCGGTGGATCCTAGTTTTAATTTCAATAATTTTTGTTAGTGTCTCATTATGTATTCTGAAAACGCAGCCCTAGCGGGCTAATAGACGCTAGTTTGGCAACAGGCAGCCGACAAAATGCCCCCGTACCAGACTAGGCAGTGCATAGGAACAATGCGGCGCATATATTCCGTGCAACAGTCGATGCCGGCACGACAGTGAACGAGGCATGGAGCCTCGAAAGAGTCCTTAGCAACAAGCGCTGAATAGCCAAACCTCAGGATGGTATTTCCAGCTCATCATGATTACGAACCCGCACCATAATTAATTAGGCACCTGAAACGTGATAACGAGGAGCGGCACCGGACTCGTGCGTCAATGAGCAAATGCAATTGAGATCCGTTTCTTTTAGATTTCCCGCCTATAATCTGATTTACGTGCCAACGTGTGACATCTTTAGCGACTTCGGGATCGGGACAAACCCGAGGATGACGGTGACGGTGAGGTCTCGGGAAAGTGACGCATCACTCGATAGTCGAAATATAAAACGATTAGAAAACCCTTCGCAACAAGCAATGAGAGAAAAGTAATTTATGGTATCCAAGATCACACAAAGACAAAAGAACACATATACCAAAAATACGTGGCGTAAGGTTTGCGATTTCACGAAGATGATAAATTATTCAGTCCCGCACACGCTTAACGTTCATTTCTTCAAGCAGCGCACCACTGAAGAGGAAGTTTGACTAAACCCAAAATGACCGCAAGCCAACAATTTTGAGAGCAAATGGAAAGATAAAACACAATGCTGCAGTAAATGGCTATAACATTAATCACCATTTGTGCTATTATGTACCACCCATCCTCGATCCATTGCACGCACATATACATTATATCTATGCATATATGCAATAGCAAGCACTGTCTTTGGAAGTACACACACAGTTGACCCACATCCAAAATATGGTACCGTGCATCAAACGTTCATTCTGAAGCCACTATCCTTTCACACAAACGCACTCGTCCATAGGCAACAGTTACACCGGCGTAGCATGCAGCCTACGATATAATGTCTTATCGCGTTACGAGTGGAACTGATCGCACTGCACGATATAATCGGGCTACACGGAGTTGCCGCCAAAAAACGGACCAAGTCCGTCGTAAGCTTCCTTTCCCGTTCAGTCTGGTAACTGAATGGTAAGAAGGTTTGCACGACACACGTTTGGTCCCTACTCTTAGTCATTAGTTCGGGAAAACGACGAAAGCTCGGAGGACAGTCTCAGCTAGTGAGACTTCTAAGCGGCGATCACTAGCGTGACCCGAAGCTTGTAACTTTTTAACCGTGGGATTCCTTTCGAGTCACTCAAGCATCTGGGTAAGCAGACTGTCGCCCACATGCTTACCTCACCAACGTTGTTGTCACCACCGTCACATCACTGTCTCTGCAGCATTTGCGTTCACCAGTGCGAAATCTTCACCCACCCACCGCCTGGTGGCGCTTCCTAGGCCGGTACGGGCGACGCCACTCGCTGGTTGCGCGTGCTGCGCGTCTCGAGTTCCTTCTGCAGCTCTCGGACTCGCGCGGCCAGCTGCTTCTTCAGCAGGAGGAGCTCGTGCTGGCGCACATGTACCGGCTCCTGTGGCATCATACGTGGGTTCCACTGACAGTAGTAGTTGAGCCACGGCCGCAGCTGGCGCAGCGAGGGACTGAAGAACAGCGCGCCCGTGTACAGCTCCGGCACGTACAGCGGGTTCGTGTAGTCCTCCACGTTGGCGTTAATGTACGACCAGAGCGAGACGGTGCGGCGCTTCAGCTCATCCTTGACGCGCTCGCGCTCGCTGTTGCAGAGGAAGGTGCCGAACAGGTTGGAGTAGAGGTGCTTCATGATCTGCAGCAGCAGCTCCTCGGTGAACTCGAATGCGTTGGCAAAGTGCTGCATCACCTGAGGCGGGGAGACAGCGGGAAATGTCAGCTGAGTCAGCTCGACAAATTGATTCACATTGACTAAACGAAATCATTGTTAGTTTGGGAATGTGACCTGCCTCACAAAGCACCGTAGGTACTTTATTTCGAGGACTGAAAATCAATCTTGATGACCGATAATCAGCACGCACTCTAATAAATTCAGAATCATCACATCTTCAAAACCAGGCGCAACATTTCTCTAGGTCTTTAAACGATCCACCTACGGGTTTACATATTGGACTGACTTTTCTACCTCTGCTAGTAACAAACGCGCGCACTTCCCGTGCCCCGTTACTAACCGCCCCGCCAACATCCACCAAGCCCAAACCTCATTCCTGCCCCGCTCCACCGACCTGCCAGACACAGTCGACGAACTGGGCGAAGACGGGCGACCGGTCTGCGTCCGAGTGTCGGTCATCGCCGTGACCGACCCGCTGCTGGAACTTGTGGCCGAAACTCAGCCACTCCTTCTCAATCAGCACCTGAGACAGTGCGAGGCGGGGCGGAGGAGGGGTTATATGGTGCGTGTTCAGGTGGTTATCATTTAATGAATGCACATCATTGAGATTAAATTGTTTATCATAGACAGAACTTCGTCCAACGATCTTATGCGGTAAAATTACTGCATGGCAAACTGGTAAAAAGTTACGCCGTCGAAGCCAGCGCAGAATACATGCCGGTACGATTTACTTCACATGTGTCTTCAAAGGCACATCTCCGATCCATTTACAGATCACACAGCTCATATCAAGATGTCAAAATATGAACCACCAAACTTCGATAAGTACTAAAATACATTCATACATTCAACACTCAACAATCTAAGCAGCACACAAACGACCGGAATCCACGAATCTCTCACCTGGAATCCGCGAATGGTGCGGTAGTAGGGGTCGAGCAGGAGCATGGCCAGCGCGGTGAGCTGCGCCGTGCGGTCCCAGCCGTCCGAACAGTGCACCACCACCGACGTCTTGTTGTACTCCACCTTGTCGACAATCTTCAGCGCGCCCGTCAGGATGCACTTGATGTGCTCCAGCCAGTTGGTGGCCTCCAGGTTACTGTAGTAGTGCGCCTCGTCAATGTTGGGGAACAGCATCTCCTTCAGCTTGCGCAGCGACTCGCGCATCACGTGGATGTTGTGGATGTCGAGGAACACCAGCTCGGCGTTCTCGTAGTAGTCATCCATCTCGTACCCACCTCCCTTAGCCTTGTTGGCCACGGCGTTGACGCTGGGCCGCGCGTCCATGATGTAGAGTTTGTGACTCTGGGCGTTGGCGTCGATGATGTTCTGCAGGTAGGTCTCGTCCTCGCGCGAGCGTTTCTGCGACACGCCGACCATGGGCTGCGAGCAGCGGGTGATGGTGGCCTGCGACTCGGGGTGGATCCAGGAGAGGATCGGCAGCCGGCCGCGGCTACGGAACGCCGCCACGGAGCGCAGATCCTCGTCCGTGGCGGTGGTCGGCACCGCCCACACGGCCGGGTAGCTGTCGCACACCTCGTACTGATCGTTAATCTTTGTGATACGCCACGACTCGGTGGGCAGACCCTGGCGCTTCAGCTCCTGGATTGGCTCGTAGACGTTCCAGCCGTTATCTGCGTACTTCTCTTCGTTCTTGAAGGCAAACAGCTGAGGGCTGAACGTGTTTTCTTTCAGCTTGGCAAACACATTGCGTCGTGAGTGGTTTTCCTGTTTGTGCGCGAAGCGCAGGTTTCTCATGTCCTTGCAGAAGAGCTCGATGCCATACGAGTTCTCGTCACGGCTGGTGTTGGCCCTGCCGACCTTTTCCACGCGGCTGATGACGCCCAGCGGCACGTCCAGCTCCAGGCACTTCTCCTTCTCGTCGGCGCGGAAGAAGATGCGGTAGTCGGTAACGGTGAGGGTGCCGCGCACCGGGCCGCTGTACGGGCACAGGTAGGTCACCCCGCGCTCGGCGATCTGAACCGTTTCGCCGCGCACCAGCGGAGGGTCGTCGGCGCGCAGCGTCTGACTCTGTTCACGAGCAGATGCAGCCTTCGCCTTGGCCTTAGCATCTGCGGCCAGCTGCTCAGAGGAGCTCGAGCTGGCAGAGCAGAGAGACTTGGACGGGGAGTGAGAGCCCTTGCTCGAGTCAAGTCCCTTGGAGGTGGCCGTGCTTGACTGTGACTCAGAGCCAGCGTAGTCCGCTCCAGCAGGTGCGTACATGTGGTGTGACTCCAGGCGGCGATCCATGATGTCAGCTGGTCACCTCAGCTCGTTACAGCCCAAATCCGGCAGATAGTGGTGCTGTGCGAATGAGCCTGCAAACAAATTGAGCACAACATCAGTAACTGATACCTATTGTATATTTGTATATACATATACAACTTGACATATACCCCTTACTTTGCATACTGGATTTCTCATTTGTCAGTGTTGGTGTCACAGGCAGAGCCCTTTGGATCACAGACCAGGCGAAGCAGCAGAACAAGGTTAGGAGTGTTAGGACTTAGGACATCAACATTTGAATTGGAATACAAAATAAAAATATCCCAGAGCCCTCCGCCTCACTTTTTCAGAAGATTGAGATGAGATAGGTAATGCGAGACGAGGCATATGGACTTCCTTACGTGTGATTTATCGCAGATGCGGCCTCCGTGTGATCTCCTCACCTATTACTCACCTGATCCAATGTGATCAAAGGTTTTCACATATATAGGAATCTTGACATAAATGACCCAGGCCTTTTCTTTCGAATTATCGCTCGGGCGTGCGTAACAAAGGACTCTTGTTTTCAATCAACTCACCTGTTCAACTCACCTGTTGGGTTTCCTTGACTCACCAGTGCATGAGGAGAGGCAGGAAACCGTGTAGGAAAGAGACGCGCCAATTCCCCTGGTTACGCTGGGCGCTGAGAGATGGACCGCAGGGGATTGGGGTAGTGCGTCTGCTTGGAGTTGGGGGAGGAAAAATTCTAGATGTGGTTAGCTGTGCGGTATCAGTTCAGTACCGGCTGTCACGGTACTGTTTGATTCGCTCCTTCGCGGAATCTGGAGTGCGCGGCGATGATCAGTAGACCCTTGCAGGAGAGATCAGACGATGTAGTCGAACAGACGATCACCAAGAACCTTCAGGAGTGATGACTTGAACTCGGCGAGGGAAGTAGAGGTGACCGTCGAGTCGGGCAAGGCGTTCCACTCGTTCACGACGCGTTCCGAGAAGAAACGTGATCTCGTGTCCAGTTGGCAGCGCCGGACTGTGATTTTGAGTTGATGACCTCGGGTGCGGCGTTCGGAGGACAATTCCCAGAGATCTGACGGCTTGATGGGACCGGGGCTGTGGAAGATTTTCCAGCATTTGATGAGGTCGGATCGGATCAGTCTGCCCTTCACAGAGAAGAGGTTTAACTGTCTCAGGCGGTCACCGTACTCCATGTTTTGCAGGCCTTTGATGTGACGAGTCCATACTCGTTGGACCGCCTCGAGTCTTCTGAGGTCATCGATATATCCTGTGTTCCATACAACAGAGGCGTATTCCAGAACTGGACGGATGTGGGTGCGGAGGATGTGCAGCATGAAGTCTGCATCCCTACACAAGGTTGCTTTCAAAAAGCTGTGTGCCACTCCTCCAGCCTTCCTGGCGGCAGCTCTAGCCTGCTCATGGAACCTTAGACTGTCATCGATGATCACGCCAAGGTCGGAGTGCGATTCGGTCCAGGGAAGGGCAGAGTTATTCAGATAGTAACTCGGTCTTGGTGATTTATGGAATTTCCGTTGGAACCTCATGAGGACGCACTTCTTCGAGTTCAGCGAAAGGCCCCACGATGATGCTGTGGCTTGGAGACGATCGATGTCCGACTGAAGACTTTTGGCGTCGAGCTCGGACTTGTTCCCACACATGTATATCTTCAGGTCGTCTGCGAAGATTTTGTAGCGGCTGTGCAAACCGATGGCTATGTGGTTGACGTAGATCAAAAAAAGGATCGGACCTAGAATCGATCCTTGGGGTACTCCGCTCCGTACTTCCTTCGATGAGCTCAGAGTGCTTTTGACCACTACTTGCATCCTTCGATGAGATAGGAAGTCCTGGAGCCAGGCAAGGAGTTGTCCGCCGAGACCAATACATCGGAGTTTCTCGAGGAGGACTGAGTGGCACACCGTGTCGAAGGCCTTGGAGAAGTCGAAAAGAATAAGATCGACGAGGCATCCGTTGTCCCAGTTGCGCGAGACGAAGTCGTACGTCAGTAGAAGCTGGTCTTCAGTAGAGCGGCCCGACCTGAAACCGAATTGATGGTCGACAAGAAGGTTGTTCTCGGCGAGGAACTCGTTCAGTTCACGCACAATAATGCGTTCCAGGCATTTCGATGGAACAGATAGAAGACTAACTGGCCGGTAGTTTAGAGGGTCTGATCGCGAGCCTTTCTTGAAGATCGGTACTACGTGGGAGTTCTTCCAACGGCGAGGCAGTGTTCCCTCTTCTAGCGACAGTTTGTAGATATGAAACAGTGGTTGCGATAAAACCGAGGCACATTCCTTCAACAGACGTGGATGGATACCGTCGGGGCCCATCGAAGAGTTAGCATCGAGGTGAGCAAGGATGCCCTCAACATCTTCGCGGGTAAATGTAACGTTATTCAGCGATGCCTGGCAGCTCTGGTGAGGAAAGGGAGTGAGCTGTGGGGCTTCGCCATAGACGCTGGCAAAAGCCTCCGCGAAGGCATCGGCCATGGCTTTGGGATGGTCAGTGACGGAGCCCGATGACAGAGTTAAAGGTCCTACAGAAGAACGGAACTGTTTCTTCTTACGTAGGTACGAGTGAAGGAGCTTCGGGCTGTCCCTCATCTTCTTTAACAGTGATCGCTCGTAGTCGATTTGCGAGTTTGTTGCGAAACTTCGTAACCGTTTGTTACACTGTAGAAACGATGCTAGCAGTGTCTTTGCCTCAGGGGAGTTCCTGCCGAAGGACGTTCTCGCCTGCTTGTAGGCTGACCATGTGGAGGACCTTAGGTGTTTCAGAGAAGTCGGTGGGTTTCTCTTCCAAGGAACCTTGTTGTTGGGCTTGTTATGTGTAGATCTTGGGATAAATTGGGATATTAGCACTTCCAATATGTCCTGGAGACGCTCGAAGGCGTCATGCGCAGATAAATACTGAAGCTCAAGGTCCCAGTCAATTGATGCCGGGCCTGTTCCAGCGCCTCCAGAAACCTCCAGAAAGCTCCAGAAAGCTCTAGAATCCTCCAGAGAGCGTTCCAGCGCCTCCAGAAAGCTCCAGAAAGCTCTCGCCAAAGCTCCAGTAACCTCCAGTAGCCTCCAGAGAGTTGGGAGGTCCAAATTTCTCTGGAGGCTCTGGTCTACAATTATGGCGCACATGTGACAATCACGAACGTAAACAAAGAACTTTTGACTGATAATTTTACAACTTGAATGTAAAGAAAAGTACATTGCTATAATTTTGTTAATCTTTTTTACTAAAATTGAAAACAAATTTTGTGTTTCAAGAGAGAACAATTGTCATTCTTTTGGTATCTATGACGCCAATCTCCAGAAATCTCCAGATTGCGTTCCAGCGCCTCCAGTAAAACCTCTGGTAGAGCCTCCAGTCAAGAATTTCTTCTGGAGGCGCTGGAACAGGCCCATCGTTTTCAATAACATGCAAACCCACTTCACGTTTGCTGGACACTGCACTGCTTTTTAGTGGCCTCAACTCTCAATTTTGGGCGTCGCCCTTTTGTAGCAGATGCGCAGTTTATGACTTTTTGAGTAGTGATGGGCAAGAACTTTGAAACAAGTACTTGAAACAACGACGCCGGCGCTTTGGCGCTTTAGCTTCCCGGCTTAAAAATATTTATGGTGGAGCAGTGATATGTGTTGACCGGCATAAATATGGAAGTTGAAGCAAATCTTGAGGCTTTTTTGGAAGAGAGTGAAATCGTTTTAATACCGGTCGAAGTCAGAAATAAGTTGTCACAGTCTTTTGATACGTTTAACACTTCAGTGAAGTCCCTGAAGAGAGAATATGACGATTTCAAAGTGCTTAAAGGTGAGGAAATCGAATGAATGAAGGGTGATTTGACTCTGAATAAATTGTTTGAATTATCTGACTGATGATCTGATAATGGGCTATCTTAAATTGATTGGTGAAGTTCCGTCCTGCAAGGAAGCACAGGAATCGGAATGTGTTTAAAGGCCAGAACAGATTCCGCGGAATGGGAACAATTTGTGTGCTTGTAAATGAAAGCAAATATTGCATGTGCACCTGCACCCCATCATGCCATATTCATTGCGCCTTGTAGTACTCATTGAGCCCTGCTAGTGTCTCAAATTGCTGCCGCTAGCTCAATGTTTATGGGAACCAGAGAATTTGTCATAAAGTGTTTCAGCTTTGAACACTTCAGTAGGCGGAACTATGGTCATGAGTACCCAAATATAGGAACGTTCCCATTTTTGGGAACGGAGTTCCCAAATATGGGAACGGGCGTTCCCATTTATGAGAACGGAAGGCAATTTTTCGGCCGTTCTCCCACTAAAACTCAAAAGTGCATCACGTCTCAAAAAAGTGCACGCTGATTTAAGTATCTACTAAATCTCCATAAAGTTATCTTTAATCTGACCGTGGAACAAGGAAATTTACCGTGGAATGATATTTTTAATGATTTTTTGAAAATGACAGAATGGTGGAAATATGGGTTATACGACATTTAACATGCAATTTTAAGGAAAATGAAGCATTTTTTAGTATGAGGTAAAGTATAATAATTTTCGCCTGGTTATGAACTTTCATACTATCGACACCAGATGCTGACAAATGCAAGCGAAGACGCGGACGGTCCCGAGGTAATATTGTTGACTTTTGTGTCGGGGCGGACGACCGCGTGGAACGGAGTGAATTTACCGAGCTACTGTTGTAAACTCAGTTTAAGCGGTTGAAAATTATCCAGCTGTATTTTATCATCCCGGAAAGACATATTTTATTTGGATGCTAGCTGTTTAGAGTTGTTTTATAAGGAGCGTCATGAGCGTGGTTTTTGTCTTCCGTGTTTCTAAGCGTGATCGTTTTGGGGGAATTTCTCTTATATAGCTCGCTCTGTGTGGCTTATTTATAATTTTTATGCTGATTTCGGTAATTCCTCGTGCCCATCCTACCAGGCCTTTTGCCACGTACACTCATCAAGAAAGGAAAAAACTAGATTTTCATTGGGACTAGGTGTTTTGAGGGTGTAACATATTCAGCGTTCCCATTTTTGGATACTTCCTTGTACTCGTCAACTATCGGTGATAAACAGACAGGTGCTTGACATGTCTCCACCCTCAGCGCGGACGGTGGATATAGGTATGGAAGACCTTGTTGAACATCGCTGAGCGTTGTGAATTACGTAATCCTGCAGAGGGGGGCGTGCCCGCTGCGAGATCGACGGGAATAAAAGCGCAGAAGACCGGGCGAAACATGCGACGGTCTTGCCGGAAAGGTCATCTGATGATTGTTGCGTTAACAATAATTTGCGGCGTTGGACGTGATGCTTGTTAATGAAAAGAGCCCCTGAAAGGCGTCGGTGAAATCGTTCCCAATTTTGGGTACGCCGTTCCCATAATAAGGAACGCTTGCAGCGCCAGTGTACGAGAGCGTTCCCAAATTTGGGCTCGCGGCCCGGATGATGGACTGCTTTAGAAATAGGGGAACGATTTGAAACTACGATGGGCCTTACAATATCAAACTCTTTCCCAACAATATTGAGACAAATATCAGGCGGTTCACGATCGTTTTATATTTTTTGGACGTCTTTTAACGGTTCTTTTTCTTGTTTTAAATAATGCCTACATGGCGTTCCCATATTTGGGTTTATCGTTCCCAAACATGGGAACGAAAATGCGTTCCCGAAAATGGGTACGCTTGACCATAGTTCCGCCTACTGACTTGCTGTGTGCATCCCTAGGGATGGTAAACCCTAAAGGGTTATATTACATGGTGGAAGGTAGGCATGTTTTGAGTTTTTGAACTTTCGTTCTGGGCATTTAGCTGCCTGAAGCCTTAACAAGACATGGGGCAGTGTTCAGCCTGGAGGCCCATGGTGTTAATTGATTGGAACTGATACCATCACCTTTAAGGCAGATAAACCTGTGCATCAACTGGTACCACTTTTATCCAAATCAGCTGTCCTCCAGATGCAAAAATGTTGAACACACACAGGTCCAAGTCAGCTATAGTTTTAGTCCCTCTTCAATGAAAATTTCACAATAAAAGAGCATACTAAAGTATGCTTTCCAATTCATCAGTTTTGGACTATTTGTGCATATCTCCTTGTAGGAAGGACTGCTCTCAGGCACTCCCTAACCCTGGACCTCTTACCTGACCAGAACACTGCACCACTTACCATGTTACAGAGCAGGATGAGTTTGAGCTGGGCCAGCAGCTGCAGGAGGCCCAGCAGGAGCTGCAGAAGCAGTCCAGCCAGCTGGAGGAGCAGCAGCAGTCTGCTGCCAAACTGGAGGAGCAGCTGACCACAATCACTGCGGACTACAGGAAGGCAGATGCTGACCTCACCAGGTAGCTCTCAGGACTGATTGGGAGCCTTTTCAAGGCGCTTTTGGATCAATAAATATTTTGGAACAATTTTTGCAGTTTTTCAGGATGCTATTAAAACTTCTATTCCTTCTGTAGTGCTTGTTCCAACACAATTGAAAAATGTAATTTGCCAATAGAATTCTAAACAAACATCCATTTTATTGTTCCACAAATATCACAGAGTCTGACCACCCCTACCCCTTCTTAACAACAAACAACAACAACAACCCTTTCTGCAGGGCACTGGCCGCTGAGCTGGCCGCCTGTCGGGAGCGCGACCAGGTGCTCTCGGACAAGGCGAGTCTGGTGCAGCAGCTGGAGCGGCGCGCTGCCGAGGTGGCCCGGCTGACGGCCGAGCTGGCCGACCGCGGCGCCGAACTGGCCGCGGCCAACGCGGCCAAGTGTCAGGCGCTGGTTCAGGTGGAGGAGATAGCTGCAAAGGAGATCAGCATACAGTACAGGTGGGAATGAATGAGACACAGACTATGAAGGGAGAGTTATTAGATGAGGAGGTAGGACTTAATCTAAGTCTATACTGACGGTGTTCCCCGAACATCGACGACCCCGGAACCGGAGGAGGTCCGGGAGACCGCCGTGGTGGCGACCCTGGCGGCTTCCGCCAGAGGCGCCCAGAGCCGACAGGCTACACTTCATTAGAGGTGGAGGGAAGAACAACAACAACAACCCCGGCATTCCTCTCGCCCGTCGATCCGAAACGTCGTTATCGGTGCTTGCCGGGGTTGAATGTTCTGATGTTTTACATCAGTAATGAATTATTTTGTCTTTATTCACATTTCATCCTTGATGAAATTTTCACATTTCCACATTTCATCCTTGATGAAATGTCTTGCATCGTCATATCACGATCAAAAAATCCCTCCCCGATCTGACGTTCAGACCTGACCCGTCCTGTGCGTGTCAGGGAGAAGAGGATGGCCAGCGAGAAGGAGCTGCTGGAGAAGCAGATGTCGCTGCTGCGGGAGAGCCTGGAGTCGCGTACCGAGGAGCTCTCCACGCTGCGCCGCCAGAACAGCTCGCAGATCATCCAGCTGCAGGCCGACCTCGCCAGCAAGATTGACCAGGTCAGACGCCTCGCCTTAACGATCGGGCGGTGTGCGGTACAATGGAGTGCTTAGCTAGTGCATTATAGGTGTGTACTTGTACTTGTTACGTCGCTCACAAACCCCTCGTATCTCGTCATTGGTTTCTATTCAACCATATTGTCATCCACGATCCAGAATATTAAGTTGTTGTCGTGAACGTAGAACATATCATTTCATGTCTGTATCTACTTCATCCGTTTTACCATGGCTGTTCCGGTCTTATAAAAACACCCGACCCTATCACTGTTATCTAACCTCTCTCCTGTAATCTCCCCTCTCCCCCGCAGCTGGAGACGGAGCAGGCCGAAAAGGAGCGACTGGCGCAGCAGGCGGCCGACCTGGAGCAGCGGCTCACTGAGCTGGCGGAGAGGCTCCGTCTGCAGCGAGAGGCCGAGATCGAACAGGAGGAGAACTACCGGCAGCAGCTGCGATCACAGGAACGGCTGGCGCAGCTCTACAAAGGTGCGGGCGCGAAAACGAGGCGGAGGGATATCGGGTGAATATTTTAGACTGGGTTGCGAGCGAGTGTCCCGTTGGAGGTTGTAAATTGACTTTTTTTGAAGGACTAGTTAGTTAAAAAACGATTTCGATCCCGTGATTGCTGTATTAAGTGATGCGTATGATGAACATGCGAGCATCATTAAATTAAAAAGACGACCGTTCTTGGTGTGACGTTCTTATACACATGAGGCGTGGACATACAAAGTGCTGGGTCTTTCACTAACCGCCGTCATGTTTCGCTTCCATGCAGAGGGCGCCGAGGAGGCGGAGGCCAAGTCGAGCGAGATGCTGCGCTTGGTGGACGAGCTGCGGTCGCTGCTGAGCTCGGCCAGCGAGCAGCAGAGCCAGCTGGAGGCGCAGCTGGACGAGACGCGCGCCCAGCACGGTCAGCAGCTGGTTGAGAGGGACGAGGTGATCCGCCAGCTGCGCACCCAGCTGGAAACGTGCGAGGAGCAGCTGCAGGCCATCACACGCAGAGGTGCGTCAACGGGGAGATGGGAAGACTGGTGTGCCACGTTTTGGGTGGGATGGCACAAGACTAGAGAGTGTAGTCACTAGCGTATGGTTCAACCAGAACGTTTCTTGAACTGTTCTCATGTTGTCAACATTTTTGTGAATCATTGTTTTGTTTTTTCTCGCTCCCAATACAGCAGTCCGTGCATCATACCAGACTGTGCACTGTGCAGTGTTTCTGTGCCACCACGAATCACCATATACTCTCCCCGTCAGGTAACCTGACGGACGAGGCGGTGGAAGCCATGTCGCCGTCCGCCGCCGCCGTCAGCCGCCTCCTGCGGCAGGGCATGACGCTCACTCAGATATTCACCGAGTTCTGTGAGGCCAAGGAGCAGCTGACGGCCGCACAGGCCGAGAGCAAACAGCTCAAACTGTGCCTCGACCAGATCCTGAAGGATATCGAGGAGCGCACGCCGGCCATCCAGAGACAGCGCGAGGATTACGAGGTGCGGGGATAGAGGGAAGGGAAGCGAGGGAGGTGTGACGAAAGGTGAATGGATGAGTGGGGTGGATGGTAGTAATAATTCACAATGCCAGAACAGGCGAGTTCATAGTTGGGAATATGATATAACAGCAGGCTGGGTGATTCAATTTTGTAATACATTTTGCAACTATACGCGACCTAGTCTCAGGCGCATCATGACTTTTTGCATAGGCTGACTCAATGATGAAACTTAACTTTGTTTTCGTTTGACGTCCTATGACTGTTTCTCCCCGTCTCCACCAGGGCGGCGGTGCAGACTATCGACGCCCTCACTGACAGCAACGACGAGGCGCTACGGGAGCTGGAGACGGCGCGCGCCGAGTCTGACGACGCCCGACGGCAGCTGCGCACCGTTCAGCACGAGCGGGACCGGCTGGCCGCCCAGACGGCCGACCTGGCCACGCAGGTGAGAGGGGCGAGAGGGAGAGCGGGGAGGGCTGTGTGGAGGGAAGGGATATTTGAAATGGTGGCTGCACGTGCGTGCGTAGACGTTTGATTGTCATCCACAGCCTCCAGTCTTGAAGATTCAAAACATCAAAATATTTACACGATAAACTTAAGGGCCCTAATCCCCAGATCGTCACCAGATCCTCGCACCGACGCACAGCCAGTCTACATGGAATTAACATGCTGCCTTCGTCCGTCAGGTGCGGGTGCTGCTGAAGGAGGTGGAGGAGGCTCGCGGCGGGTTCGTCACCACACCACGGGACGAGCTCGAGCTGGACACATCATCCGCCGGACGGGTGAGACAAAAACCGGGGACAGGGGGAGCTGCTTATATGAGCGGGAAGTGAAACAGACTACACTGTGAACATCATTTGTAATGACACATTATTGTAATTTATACTGCCATTGAAAATAGCTGCGTGTCTTGTTTTGGATTGAATTAAAAGCCTAGATTTAGTTGCTCAACAGTCAACATCCTGCGAGTAAGCTCAGCAACGTTAACGATTTTCTTGTCGCATCACGCTCGACTCTAATCTAATCAGCTCTTTCATCACACCCCTCCTGTCCCTCCGCCAGCTGATCGCGCAGCGTCTGGTCACCTTCCGTGACTTGGAGGAGCTGCAGGCGCGCAACCAGGAGCTGCTGGCTGTGGTGCGCGAGCTGAGCATCCAGCAGGAGGAGGCTGACGGTGCCGACGTGACCCGCTCCGAGTCGCACGTGCGCCTGCAGGCGGAGCTGAGCGCCGCTCAGGAGGAGCTCGAGGAGCTGCGGGTGGCGCGTCTCCGTCAGGAGAGTATGGTGGAGAGCATCGTCAGGCAGAGGGACATGTATCGGTCGCTGCTGCATCAGCAGACACAGTCACAGGTTAGTCGGTGTCGGTGACGGGGGAGGGAGAGTGATATGCTTTGTGGTGAGTGAGGCTGAGCGTTAAAGTAGTGTGAGGAAAATGGCTTGCACGATTAAACCATGGATAAACAGTAATGCGCGTGTCGTACTCGTTAATTTTTGAAAATTGATTCTCTTCAACTGCTACTTGAAACTTTAATTTGATCTCTAGGAGCTTCTGCTGGCGCTACTTATTCTGGGGCTCTGTGTCTGAAACATGAGTGAAGTACCTCACCTCCCCCTGGCTCATTTCCCAGGAGCTCGCCGACCAGTCTGTCACCGGCAAGTCACCTGTGGCGGCCAGCCCGGCCAAGAGTCCGGCAGCCAAGTCCTCCCCCGTGGCCGCCCTGCCGTCAGCAGAAGACGCCGCCCGGGTGGAGATGCTACAGAAGCAGTTACAGGAACTGCGCGAGGAGTACGACTTCTACAAGAAGGAGCAGGCCGAGAACGTCAAAATGCTGACCGAGCAGACACAGAAGCTGACGGACCAGCTGACCGAGCACAGGTGGGAATACAGACTGAGTGCTCACCGGGGAGAATTAAGGTAGACTGCGTTGTTGTTTATGATAATTGATTTGGTGGCAATGCATTACTTAAAGTTGTGGGGTTTCGAATAAGTTGTTACAATTGGCTACAAAGTTCTGTCAGATACAGAAAGCTCAGTTACATTACAACGTGTGGCTATTTAACCGACAACCACGCGCCGTATGACAACATATCTGTACCTGAACGATTCACACTAGCCCTTTCCGTTTACAGGGTACAGAACACGAAGCTCGTGTCGCGTCTCGAGTACAACGACGAGCGTTTCGCGATCGCTCAGAGTAACAGCGACCAGTACAAGCGACAGGCGGCGGCGCTCGAGGACAAGTATAAGAAGGCCGCCGTCACCGTGGCCAAGTACGAGGAAACGATCGCTACACTGCGAGAGGTGAGATGAGACACGGGATGGGAGGGTTTGGCCTACAGGGGTTGGAGGTTTGAGAGCTGTGGGGCGTCTGCTGAAGCTGATTGAATCCATTCTCCGAATCTCTGCTCGATGACTTCCAGCCCATGACTCGTGAATCAATTCACTCTGCTACCGGTAATGCCTAGGCGATCTAGTATGTTTTATGAACATTCTGGTCCAGAGTATCCACCCTGCATATGAGACCATTTATCTTCTTTCTTTTTTTACAATATTTCCAATGTCACTTTTCTTTACTCCCCCGTATGTGTCTCTACTTGTCCCATAGACATCTCCTCTCAGCTCCCCTGTGACAGTCTACCCTTTCCACCCGTCAGAGTGTCAGCTCAGCCCAGGAGCGTCTCTCCCGAGCAGAGGTGCGCTGCGAACACCTCCAGCAGGAGCGCACCATGCTCAGAGAGTCCGAGGCGCGGCTGCTCGCTGAACGAGAGGCGGCGCAGCGCGAGCGAACTCAGACCTCGCTGCTGCTCTCGAACATGGAGGCGATCAAGAATAACCTGGAGCGGGCGCAGACCAGCGCGGCGGCCCAACTGGAGAACCAGGTACGCTGGAATGGCGTGGGAGTAATAAGGGGGTGGCTGGACTTTGGTGAAGTCGGGAGGGTCTTGGTAGAAAAGTTAAGTGGTTAAAGGTGTGATGAAGATGCGGGTATCGGCTATGCGATGACATCCTGAGACTAAAACTAATTTGTTAAGTGTGAGATGTTTTGTGAAAACTTCCAACATTTGTGTGGTGGAAGACAACCGAAGTCTAAAAAGTGAGTGGGCTAGGCAACTAGGATTATACTCGGCAGTGGACGGAAAGCTTTCTCTGTCCGAAGCCCTCATCTTCATTGTTTCCGGACCTTGCCCGTTCGCCGCTTCAGAACGACACCTTGAAGCGCGAGGTGGCGGCGCTGACCCGTAAGCTGGAGACGGACGCCGATACGCACAATAAGGCCATCAAACTGTGGGAGGCCGAGGTGGCTAAGCTCAGACACAAACTCGGTCAGTATTCTAGGGACAGAGCCTGTCGACTTCTGGTCGTAAATGTGTAAGAGGACGAGCCGGGTGGTGGGTTGTCTGCATCAGTAAGTCTCGGTGCATCGTTTCTTCCCAGTTATTTTTGTTTGAATTGCTCGTTCTGAGGGATAAGTTACAACGTTAGCAAGTTTCCATGCATTTCGTGGCTGAATTTAGTAGGGTTTCATCGTAGTATTAGTATTGTATCGACTTTCGCAGCTCTGTTGAACTACATGATGATATAAACATGCCAATGTTTTTGCCGAGGAGTTTGACATTTACTCTCCCTCTCCACAGAGGAGGAGGCCGTGGTGGTGCGGAAGGCGCGCGAGGCGGAGGTGGCCGCCGAGGCGCGTGTCCAGCAGCTCAAACAGCAGCTGACTGAGGCACAGACGACGGCAGCGGCTGCGCCGCCGCCGGCCGCCGCTGCCTCCTCACCTGCAGCTCCCTCCGCCGAGCTGCGCGAGACGCGCCTGCAGCTGCAGCAGGCGCGGGCGCAGCTGGAAACAGCCAAGCAGCAGGCGGAGGCGGCGCAGCAGCGCGCGCAGCAGCGCGGACTGACGGAGGCGGCCGAACAGCGGCTCATGGAGTCGCAGCGCACCGTACAGGAGTGCCAGACCACCATGGAGACGCGGTGAGTAGTCACTGGTCAAATGGTGTAATGCTGTTAAGCTATTGAAGCAAACATCACCTATAAATTATAATAGTGCTCACTAGCCAGTTTTCCGGTTTGCCGTACATTATAGCTGCGCTGATCGAAGTACCCGTCCTCTGCAGGCTGCAGGAGAGCCAGGCGATGCTCTCTGAGCTGCAGCAGGTGGTGGAGACCCTCTCCGCCGAGAAGCAGCAGCTGGAGACGCAGCTGGCCGCCACCGCTGAGGTCAAGGCCGGTAGCACCCGGTTGAAGGCCAACCTGGAGAAGACGCGTCAGGAGCTGCAGGAGCTGACGACACGTCTGGAGACAGCCCAGAGCCTGGAGAAGGAGGCGCGCGAGAACGCCCAGAAGGAGGCAGCCACGCGCGCCGAGGCGCAGGACAAGTACCAGCACGAGGTGATCCTGCACGCGGCTGATCTGGAGGCGCTCAAACAGGCGCGCGCCCAGCTGGACGAGACGACCGCTAAGCTGGCGGCGGCGGAGGACGAGCGCCGCGCCGCCGTCGCCCGCCTGGCCGAGGCGGAGGCCGGCTGGAAGGAGCGCCAGGCGCTGCTCGATCAGCAGGCCACCCAGCAGCGGCAGCAGCACGACGAGCTGCTGCAGCAGAACAGCCTGCTGCACGACCAGCTGGAGCAGCTCAACTCCCAGCTGACTGCCGTGCAGGCGCGGCTGGCGCCCGCCGAGCCGGACGCAAACACCACCGGCGGCTCCCTCAACACCTCCTTCTCCGAGGCGGACGCGCGCACCTCGGAACAGCTGCTCGAGATCATCCGCTACCTGCGCCGTCAGCGCGAGATCGCCGAGACGCGCGCGGAGACTGCCGGGGCGGAGACGCGCGGCTGCGCGCGCAGCTGCAGCTCACCAAACAGCAGCTGGAGGCCAGTCAGACGCGGCTCGACCAGGAGCGACAGAGCTCGCAGGCCTCGGTGGAGTCCTCGGCGCGACTGGCAGAGCTTCTCAGGAAGGTGGAGACGCTCAACGCGCTCACTGATAGTAACCGGGTGCTGCGGGTCGAGCGGGACGACCTCTCGCGGCGCTGTCAGGAACTGCAAGTGCAGCTGGACACCACCAGGGTCGAGATCGAGCCGCTGCAGGTAGGCCGGTCTGGGCCCTGGGTATTTATTGGGAAGGCTGCGAAGGGAAGACACTGCTAAGTAATTAATGACCATGCTTGATGCGGCTATGTGTTAGAAGTGTTTCAATCAGCTTTATAAGCTGATGGCTGTAAGTGATGTTAAAGTAAATTTACTTTTTTTCGGGATCCTAAGCTTTTCCAAACGTTCACCATATGGTTCGCAGGCGTATCTCGGTTTCCACACCGTTCCGTGCTTCTATCCTCAGAATACTGAAATCCTTCTCCTCCACGCCGCAACCCCTTCCGGGCTGGACAGGCAACTTTATCTCATGCGGGCTACTCCCTTGGAGCGGCACCGCTGCTCCCGAGGGAGCGCACCCGTAGCCGGGTGCAGTGAGTACCTTGGGGCTGGGTGGCCTGTCCTCTGGACGGGCTCAGCCCCGGCGACTCACTAGGGTGCCTGCCCAGACCAATGTCTCCCGGGCTATATCCTGTCATCCTCCCGGCTCTGAAATGGTCTTGTCAGACCGAAAGGGCCTAACCCAACAAAACAAACAAACATCTCAGTTCCAGGCATGTTTATCTGCTATTAGCATTTCGATCCATTATGCTCCTATTTTGCTGACCAGCATCGTTCCTCCCCAGGAGAAGAACCGCGATCAGCAGTGCCGGATTGACGTCCTGGACAGCGAGTGTACGACGCTGAGGGGCGAGGTGGCCCGTTGGCGGCAGCGGACCGCCCAGCTCACCGAGAGGGCCAACAAGGCCAACCCCGAGGAAATGAAGAAGCTACAGTGAGTTCGGCCGGCGCGGCGACTGACGCTTTTTCATACTTGTCAGAATGTTTGTTGTCGGATTTGGAAAATCGGGAGCCTGCTCTGGTGCACCGGATCTTACCCCATGTTTGACAGGTGGTACAGCGACACTCGATTTCTGCTAGCTAGGCTATGGACTTGAGCTATGAACTTACCTTTTTTGTGCGTTAGCACAGCTGCAGCTGCTTATTCAGCTCTGAACGACTGTATGATGGTCATGGTCGCTCGTGTTACGCTATGTTTTGCTGCATATCTTAGACTAATTATCCTCGGTCCTTTCACTAATCTCCTCTCCCCCGGCGTCGCTCACAGACAGGACAAGGAGGCGCTGACGAAGCGTACCGAGGAGCAGCAGCAGCTGGGGGGGAGAGCCGCGTCCGGCAGTCGTCCCAGGCGGTCACCGAGCAGCGCGCGCAGCTGACAGAGCGGCTGCGCCAGCTGACCAGCGAGCTGTCGCAGCTCAAACAGGAGACCGAGAAACACAAACAGGAGGCCGAGCGCAACAAACAGATGGTGAGTGAGACGAATGAATGGTGAGCGTATAAAACAGGAAGGCTGGTCGTGCATAGACGCTGCGACGTGTTTGGTACGCCGATGTTTTTCTCCCTGTGGCTGTCTTTGTCTCCGAGAGTATCCTCGTGTTTTTTTGTAATTAAATGGGCAGCATATATGCGGAGGTCTTGTTTCGTTGGCTCAGTAATATTACAAGTATCGTGAACTATCAGACAAAGTCATATTATTACGGTAGCAGTTAGTTCGATGACTGATCTTCCTTCCTTCCGCCCGTGTCTGATCAGGTGACGCAGCTGCAGGCTCAGCTGAAGACATCGCAGCAGCAGATGACGGCCGCGCAGCAGGCGACCTCGGGAGCGCAGCAGCAGCTGCAGCAGGTGCAGCAGCAGCTCCAGCAGGCGCAGCAGCAGGCCGAGCAGCAGGCTGAACAGCTGAAGGGTGACGTGGAGAAGGCTAATGCGGAGACTGCCAAACGGGACGCCCAGCTGAACGAGATGCGGACCAGCATGGTGCAGGTAAAATGCGGGGACACGTGATGTGTTCATCGGGAGAAGTGTGCTGAAAACGATTTATCATTATACCCAATGATGCTCTGGGTTGCGTCGTCCGTTTCCATTCGAACCATCCACCCCCATTAGGATGTTAGAGCTTGACTCATCTTTCGCTGCTGCATTTTTTTTTTTTTTTGTCTGTGACGTTGATTTCGCTGCTTTTCTCACATTGAAGTATAGTGTCCCACAAGACTTGAGTGCTCGGCTTCCGTAACCACCAATCGCTGTCATATTTTCCATCGCCATCTGACTGCTCTTCACGTCCCTCTCAGGTGAAGAAGATCGGCCGCCGGTACAAGTCCCAGTTCGAGGAGCTGCAGACGGAGCACACCAAGCTGAAGGAGGAGCTGGCGGCCGCCCAGACGGCCGCCGCCGCCGCGCCGGCCGCCGACGCTGCGCGCACCTCCCAGCAGGCCGCCGAGCTGGAGACGGCGCGCGAGAGTCTGACGTCGACCCAGGCCGACCTGACGGCGGCGCGCACTGAGCTGGAACAGGTGCGCGCCACGTCCCGCCAGCACGAGGAGAAGACCCGCACCCTGCTGCAGAAGTTCCGCCAGAAGGTCTCCCAGCTGACACAGGAGAACAAGGACCTGCGGGAGAGAGCCGACAATGGTACGGCGCAGGGAGGAGGGGAGAGTAGAGAGGTGGGATGGGGGACAGGGAAGGGGTAGAATGATGGAGAGGGATGGGAGAGGAGGGCGCAAGCGGGGTGACGAGTATTCATCAAGGTTAAGTAAGGGATGGGCAGAGAACTGTTGGCAAAAGGTTTGGTATTTTAATTGGCTTATTATTTGGCTATTAGTTGGACGATGATGAGACTGAGCACTGAGAAAAACTCGTCAAAAACCATTGAACGACCGTCTTGTTTAGTTACGATTCGAGCTCATTATCTCGCACAGCAGCTGTATCCCGCCACAGCTTCTCATTCTCCTCCCACCCTCACCTGACCTGACCTCGCCCTCCCCACGCAGAGGGCGCGTCTTCAGCGGCCCAGGACGAGGCAGAGATGCGGGTGGCCGCTTTAAAGTCTCAGTACGACAACAAACAGCAGCAGCTCGAGCGGGAGTTATCCGAGGCCAAGAAACGGCTGCAGGCGCTCGAGAAACAAATGACCGTCAAACAGGTAAGCGACTGGAATCGATGTTTGGCCCGATTCAAATAGGTGACTAAGGCAGTGTTTGGTCGAGGTGTTGATGCAATATGACATTTTAAGAACGAATGTATTGCAGTTAGTGTGACGACGAGACCCAACCCAGCCGTCCTCTGACCTGTCCCGCGGGGTGTTAACCTGACTCCTCCCCCTCCCTCAGCAGCAGGCCAAGCCGGCGGCGGCCCCCGACTGTGCCGGTGACCAGTCGGGCCGCACGCCGACCGCCAACATCCGTCCGATGGCCGGCGGCGGGGGCGCGGGCGGGGCCGCGCAGCTGCCGGCGCCCCACCCGGGCCCGGCCACGCCCAGTCGCACCACGCCCACCGCCAGCATCCGACCAATGGCCGTGCAGCCGGCCAAAACGACGGCCACCGTGCCGCCCAGCGTCACCGGCAGGTAGGGCGGCGAAATAGTGTTGATGAAGGGGAAGGGAGGGGGTGCTGGATGGTTTGCGTAGGACGCTCACGGGAGAGACACCCGATGCCAAGTTGTGAGTGGAGAAATGCGATGCGGACAAGTTTTCAGGCGGTGGTACGTGATGGCTTTGGACAGGCAGATGCATCGTGATTGAATATGAATAACAACTGTATTGCTTGGTCTTTTTGATTCTCCATCCCATCTGTCGCTTCTGAGTCGCCTCCACCTGTCGTCCTAGGGGTTTCGTATCCCGACGTATAACCCTACCCCCGCCATGCTTTGTTTCCGCAGCGTGACCAGCGAGCCGGTCGCCTCCACCTCCACTGTGACTGTGGCCACGGTGGCTCCGACCCCGGCCCAGGTCACCGAGACACTGCCCCAGGCCACCGTCACCCCCCGCAGTCAGACGGCGCCGGCCGAGACATCGCCACGCGTCCCGCCCGTCTCTGCCGCCCCCACTGCGACCGCTGCGGTCACTGCCACAGCTGCGGCCCCGGCGGCCGCCGCGGCGCCGGTCCAGTCCCAGCCGGCGGCTGGCGCGCCGCCGGAGAGCCCGGCACAGCAGCAGCAGGAGCCGAGCCAGCCTGCCCAGCCGCCCCAGCAGTCCCAGCAGCCACAGCAGTCCCAGCAGCCGCAGCAGCCTCCGCAGGCGGGGAAGCGGGCGTTTGCCGTGGTGGCGGGCACCAGTGCGGCGTCGGGCTCTGGCTCAGCCCCCGGAGAGGCAGCCGTGCAGGCGGTGAGTGGGGCGTGATGGTGGACTAATGGGAAGCGAAGTGGTTACAGAAAGGAGAACGTATGGTGGGGCTCAGCTGGGGTGAGTGTAGGACTGACCTGAGGAAAAGGGCTGAGGCGGGGAGGAGAGTGGAGGAGATTTGCTTTAGAGGAGATGGAAGGCTAGGTGATCAAATCGTCTTCAAATACGATTAGCTGTTTGTAAGGAACGAAGTTGACCATAAATACGCCACAGGTGAAACGGCCTCGCACAGAGGAGTCGACTGCGTCTGAGAGTGGCTCTGGGACGGACAGCCAGCCGCCGACAGCCGCGGCCCCCGCTCCTGCTGGGGAGACTGTCGCCGCCCCCGCCCCCGCCCCCGCTGCCGCCGCACCGGCCGCCAATGTCGCCCCTGCCGCCCCGGCCGCCACCGCGGCTCCGTCGGGGGCAGATTCTCCGATCATCGTACTTTTATCGGATGACGAGAAGCAGGTAAGTGCTGGGATTGTCTCGTTCGAGTGCAGGGATTGTATCGTGTGAGTATGGCGATTATATCCGATCAGTGCAGGGGTTGTCTCTGCTGAGCTCTGAGACTGAGATCATCGGGCGAGTCAACAGGAATTGTCTGGGGAGCGCAGGGATTGACTCTGGTAAACGCTGGGATCTTTGGATTGTCGCACAGTAATGGTTCGTATTTCGTCAAACTGTCTAATAACGCTCGACGTCTTTCTGCTCAAGATTTGTTTTAGTTAGTTACAGTTAATATTATCGTACCCTCGGCTCTTCTCCAAATAGCAATATACTCTAAAATAAGTATTTCACTCGACGTAATGCCACCCTAAGAGGAGATGCTACTTATTGCATATTTATATTTATGGCAGGCTGCTACTACTTATTATATTTATATTTCACCGTCTCGCTACTTCATACATGAGTCGCCAAGGATGTCTCGCTCACGGTGTATCACGGTGTATCACAGGAGGAAGACGACGCTGAGGAGCCGGAGATAGAGGAAGAGGCGGAGGAAGAAGAGGAGGAGATGGCGGGCGACGAGGAGGCGGAAGAGGAGGAGGAGGACGATTACGAGGAGGATGCGGAGGACGAGCCGGCTGCCGAGACAGAACTCAACGATGATGATGACGTGAGTAGAGGCACGGCAGTGGGACGCCGCCCCCGGGTTCTAATCTATCCTTATCTCAGTTCCACCCAGCCAACTCATGTGAGAGCATTATTGTTTCCTGTTGCCCAGTCATGGTGGATGAATTCATTATCAGCTGCGTCGGAGAAAATGTGTTTCTGGAAAGCATTTGATTGTTGTGACCGGAGCGAATTATTTGATGAATGTTCAGCGGAATGATTCGCTAGGTGTGCTGTTTTGGGAGGATGTACAGTCATCGTCAGACTCATAATATTTTCAGTCATTCTGTGACTCAATCGACTAAAAGATTTCATTTGTGAGCCCCATTAATGACTTTATTAATATCAGCCATGCCAGTTTCCCAGAATCCAGTGACATCTCGAACACAAAGCACCTTCGTAAGTTAGTGCTAAAATGCTATTAGGAAGTACAAGCGGGAAGTGGAATTCGCTAAAGCAATAATCACGCGTTATTTCAGGTTAATCGCAACCGAACTATCGAACTAACCCTGTTCTAACCCGTTCTAACACGAAGTAGCCGTTCGGTTGCCCCCCCCCCCCCCCCACCTCACTGTTCAAACCGCCCCCGGCGCGCACCGTCTCGGGCGATAGACAGGATGTGCCATCACTTCCAGAAGATGCCGATCACGCTGTCGAAGGCGCTGGCAGTCGCTCCGACCACCCCGTCAGCCACGTTGGTGACTATTTTGCCGACCTCCTCCGTTGTCTGTTCCACTAAGTGGTCGGCCGCAGCGGTGGCTGCTTTGGTTGCGTCCCGTACGGCTGATATGTCCACTTCGAGCCCAGTAACGGCAGTCACAGCTTCGACAACCTGTGCCGTCGTGTCGATCGTCATATTCACCTGAGCGATGGCTGTCTTGGGGGCGTTGCGCGCTGCCGTCTTACCCGTTTCAACAGCGACAGTGGTGACTTTTTTGCCGACGTTCGTGATCACCTGGGCAACGGCTCCGCTCTCACTCTTGCCAGACATGCTTGTTGTTTGTTTTCAGTGCGATCTGTCGACTTCGGGATTTGTCGCGTGGTCTGGCCGTCGGTGAGCGTTTCCACGTGTGATTTTCTTCTCCTGTTGTAAGTTTTCTAGCGCCGAGCAAGCGTTCCTCTCTTATGGTAACTATTTGGTGAAAACTGTCGGCTTTCCCACTGTTTTACCGGCTTGCGACAGCTACAACACAACACAGTACACAGCAGCACGACCAAATGTTTCAGTCACTGCACGGTATCTGCGCTTCCCAGCGCTCCGCCGTCCGTCGTGCTCGCTTGAGAGTGGGCAACTATATTCATGCATTCATGTAGTGAATATCACAAATGCCAATTGGCCCTGGTGATGAGGTGCAACGCCTGTGCAATGCACATGCAGCGCTTATCACACTTGCAATTGCATGCACACTCGACTATGCACTCAAAGACATGGGCGTCGCCACCACTACGGACACTACGGACAGGGTCCGTACAAGTTTTGGAAGGTCCGAAAACTTGTACGGATGGTTCGTACAAGTTGCGACGGCCGAAAATGAGCTTTGCAAGTAAAATGGCATCAATGCTCGACAATAAGTATTGCAACTAATGCAAGAATTCCGGGAAGTAGGTATTCAGGATGTCCAGCTTTTTACGAGGAAGACAGCGCGATCTTCATGACGTTTTTCGATGTACATCAATCAGCTTTCAGCTGAATGACATGCTTTTTTCCGAACTGAATGTAGTGTGGAATAGGTACTGATTCCGGAGGATCGTACCAGCTTGAGAGAACTCGTCCTTACAGGACAGGGGCCAGCAGCTGTCTCGGTGGTGGTGCGTACTGCCGTCTTACTGACCCCGAATGCGACATCTGTGACTTTCTGCCTCGACCTGTGTGATGGTCTGGGCCACAGCCCCTCCGCCGGTCAACGAACGGACACCCTTGCCTCTGACATGCTGGGATTATGAGGTGACTTTGCTGGACGCTTCCGCTTCATTACGGATGAACGCCCTTCGGTGGGATTTTTTTTTTTTTTTTGAAGCTACATCACTTGTACTTTTCTTCTCGGGGAGTTTTTAGCGCCGAGTGTGCCGTTGTGTGACCGATTCCTTGGGGAAAGTGGTCGTCTGTCTCTGACCCTGCCACTTGAGAATAACGGGAGTCCGGCGTACCGTCTCTGCCACTGCGTGGTGTCGTCTACTCACGCACCTCTCGGCGCCCCCCGACCGTCGGGTCGCCGTGTGACTGAAGGACGGAGGCGTCATCTGCTTTTATGGGTATCCTTCAGGCGCCCATGGTAAACGCATGCTGGGCGCGCCTGACCCGAAAACAGTCCACATTATCGCAGGAAAATGTGACATCAGCTGCGGGTGATATCCCATTTCCGGTCATTGATTGATGGCGTTTGTGTATCTATAGCTCTACTTACGGTTTTGTCGTGCTTAGATTGCCAGTAATGTTATACTCTACTAGTTCGGGTCAGTTACATATTGATGAGTCTCTAGTGACATCACGAAGCCTCGGATGAGCTCACGTAAAATCCCGGATGGCGTCTGGTCGGCCACACAGCGTGCCCGAGTCGATTAAGGGGATCCCCTCAACCTGTGAGGATGTCGAGTCTTGTTCGAAGTTCGAAGTGAAGTTCGAAGTGTTCGAAGTGAATCTGGTGGTTTTGGGATCGGCTTCACATAGAGGCTGGCAGGCTCCACTGTTCCAATAGGCGCGCGATAGGCTTCAGCGATCGTCTGATGCGCTGAAGTCTGCTTTGTCTTATTGGTTTAAATCTTTTACACGATTGGTCTGAGGTTTCTGGTTTCAAGTATGTCAATCCATCATCCAGCAGTCAAAATTTGTGCTATGAAATGATGAAAAGTGAGATGATCGGCAAGTGAATAAAAAATCGAAGTAAATCAAAGTAACCCTGGCCATGCCGGTTGTGACTAACGGCGTTTGACTTCGGTGGGACAGCTCTTCACTGACTGTTTATAATGCAGGGATATGCATCCCTTCATTTTTTTTTTATAAATGCAGTGATGATAAGGTATTTTTTATGGTGTGTGTATCCGTCGTGACCGGTGTGAGCTATTTGCTGCATGTGCTACTGCGTAATTTACTTGGCGCCTCAACTTGTAAATATTCGGTGGAAAGAACAAAGCAATGAACATCATCCGAGTTAATATCTTTATTTCTTCCTTTTCTCTTATTTTTTGCAATTTTTTATAGCGTCTTATTAAATACGTAGGCTAAATTAGCACAAGGCATTTGTATTGTTGCTGATCATTCTGTATCATATCATTAGGTCACTGGCGCACACCGAATCTGGCTCTAATAATTGCATTACAGCCCACTTCAGAATTATCACAATCGAGCTGATCCTGATATAGCAATCAAACACGAACCGGTCTTTACTTTTCTACATGCTACTAGCAGTCCAACATCTCCCTAAATTTACTGCTGAAAGCCGTTCTCGACACCGGGCCACGCGTCCAGCCGATGGAGGCCACGACACTGAGGTGGACGACGATCCGCTATTACTTCCAGAAGCTGCCGATCACGCTGTCCAAGGCGCTAGCAGTCGCCCCGACCACCGCGTCAGCCACGCTGGTGACTATTTTTCCGACCTCCTCGGTCGTCTGTTCCACTATCTGGTCGGCCGCAGCGGTGGCTGCTTTGGTTGCGTCCCGTACGGCTGATATGTCCACTTCGAGCCCAGTAACGGCAGTCACAGTTTCGACAACCTGTACTGTCGAGTCGACTGTCGCGTCCACCCCGGCGATGGCCGTCTTGGTGGCCGTGCGCGCTACCGTCTTGCCCGTTTCAACTGTGGCGCTGGTGGCTACTTTGCCGACATTCGTGACCACTTGGGCAACGGCTCCGCTCTCACCCTTGTCAGACATGCTTGTTGTTTGGTTTTTAGTGCGATCTGTCCACTTCGGGATTTGTCGCGTAGGCTGGCTGTCGGTGGACGCCTCCACTTGTGATTTTCTTCTCCTGATATGAATTTCCTAGCGCCGAGCAAGCGTTCCTCTCTTATGGTAACTATTTGGTGAAAACTGTGGGCTTTCCCACTATTCCACCGAGTTACCACAGCTGCAGCACAACACAGTACACAGCAGCACGACCAAATGTTTTAGTCGCTGTACGGTATCTGCGCTTCCCAGCGCTCCACCGTCCGTCGTGCTCGCTTGAGAGTGGGGAACTGCTTGTGACTGCGCTTATATTATCTTCGGAGCAGGAAAGACTGTCCATGTGTCATCAGGCCAACAGTCGCCAGATGAAGTGGTTTGTTAGTGTTCATCGTTGATTGATAGTCTTATGCTTAGATTACCAGGATGAGTTTGTTGATTTGAGCTGGGGATCGTCCCGGAAAGTTGAAATGTCGGGTGGTTGTGTGCTAAAATACGCTTGAATATACAATCTATGGTGAAGATACGTTCAGATGTTTGTGTACGGATGCATCCTTCAATGATGTTTATAAAGAAAGCTGGGATTCCTGAGAGCTCCTGTCTGTTTGTTCAGTGGTGATGACGTCACGAGGCGGTGACAGGTGACGACTAAGACCGTTAAGTCCACCAAACTGTACTCGTAGCTGTCAACAGGATGTGAGCTGGCTGGCCAAGATAGTCCCCCGTTCTCGTACCTCGGGGATGGCTCGGCCTTATCTGAAGGAGACTTTGTCTTTGCTAGACTGGCAACCGCGTCACTTATATTGAGGCTGAATGCATGGTCCATTATTGGGCCGTGCGGCAATAGCAGCAGCAGTGTAGCTCTCTACTCCCCTCTCACAAGATGGGACGACTCGTCATTCCACGAAAGGAAAGGTTGCTGCTCCGGCTTCATGAGGGTTTTGTGAGCCTTGAGAAACGATGAACTTCTAACTGGAGAATATGGCGAATTGCCATCAAACATTTTTCCGCTTTTCCAGAATTGCGCTGTGATGACATGTTCATTGTTAAGTACCAGGTGGATCGAACCGACTGGAAAGTAAACTGGATTGCTTGATAAAGATATGGACATGTAATTCAATTGAAATTGAAAGCGTGTTTTATATTATAAACATAGAAAACATCTCATGTTTTATGGTATTCCTTCATAAAACTCTACATTCAGCAGAGGCCTCGGTTTATTATCCATCACATGTATTTTGCCTCATTCGCCCTCAATCCAATTTTCACCGTCTTTATGACAGCGACTGTCATTCACCGCCATAACCACACAGCCATTAGCATTCACTGTTGTAAGCTCACAGCCATTTTCTGATGGAAACGGTGGGTTATTTCCTCTGGTTCTGTCTGCGACAGGTGGCAGCCGTTCCATTGCAGGGTATTCTGTTTATTTCTCGCTTTGACTGCTCACCGTCTGAACAGGCTACCAACGGCCCGCGCCACAGTTTGAGTGGTCTTAGCCACACCCTCAGCTGCCTCGTGCCAAACCCGCTCGGCTCGCGGCACTACGGAAATTACCGCCTCCTTAACATTTTGCACATGCTCTAACATGACCCTCTCTACTAAATGTGTGACCTCCCGGTGGCCAGCGAGAGTTTGAACCAGCTTCGAATCGGCGCGGCGCACCGCCCCCTGCTGGGATGGCAGCTCCGTGGCAGCGGTGGTGTCGGACTCCTCCCGCTCCCGCTGCTCGGTCCGCTCCCTCTCCGCCCGCGCCTCCTCGGCAGCGGCTGCGTCCCGATCGCGCTGGCGCCGCTCGGTGGACGCCGCCCGAGCCGCGCTCCTGACGAGGCACGTGCTCAGTCGTCCCTCGATCCACTGCTGTAGCTCCTGACGCGGCGCGGCGGCTGCCCCACCGGTGCTGACCTGACCGCGCTCGTAGCGTTGTAGCGCTCTCCGGGCGGCAGCGGTGTGCATTTCACGGAGCCGCTGTTCAGTGACGGCAGGACCCGCCACTGCGCGCCGCATCTCGGCCCCGTACTGGTCCCAGCAGGCGGCCGCCAGCGCCGCGCTCTGGGAGGCGGCTCGGCCGTCTACCAGCTCCCGGCGCCTCCGGTTGAGGCTCTCCGCGCGTCCGTAGTGCTCTGTGAGGGCTGTCGTTAGCTGTCGGTCGGCGGTCGGCTCGCCACGTCCGCCGGCGGCTCTGAACGCGCGGCGGGACTCGCTCAGTGCCGCTCTGTGCGTCTGTTGGAGCTCCTCGTCTGTCAGCGGTTCTCCGGTAACTGTAGCAGTGTTCAGCCGTTCGACGAAGGCTCGGAGCGCGGCGGTCTGCGCGCGCCTCGCCGCCAGTGTACTCTCTTGTAGCTGCGGATCTTCCTTAGGAGACAGGCCGAACAGCGGGATCGCGCAGTCCTCGGCTGTGCCACTGCTCGTCTTAGACATGGCGCAGGGTCGGCTGGTACCGGCCAAACCTCTGCAGAGGCTGCTGCTCGGTTTGGCAGGGCGTTGGTTGTGATGGCCGACAACTGATGTGTGCCCAGGATAGATAGCGCTCCGTTGAACGAGTCTCTGGGCCGGGGACTCAGCAAATATTTCCTCGGTGTTTTCTGACTTGGTGGTGTCGAGCTGGATACGCCACACACGCCAGCCACCTTGGGTGAAACTACTCGCTTGTCTTCTACTAATATGCGGTAGTTGGCACTGAACTTCAATCGAACTTTCGTTACCTCACTGTCCGCGCCGGACCGTCCTAATCACACAGCTTCACAGCACAGCCACCTCCACCGCTACTGGCCGGATAATGTCCGAGTTCTGACCGCTGCCGACAGAACTGTCCCTCCCTCCTGAGCGGGCCAGTATTCGGGATTCACCGTCAGACGCCCGAGGTCGGAGAGTACCCCGGTCTGCCGACCTGTGAGGCGGTGCCGGGCCTATCGCCGAGGTGACATGTCACAGCGCGTCGGCAGGGACGGGGAATATCCCGACAACCACCGCCGCCGGCAGGCCGGGCCGGGGCCCGAGGATCCATCAATAAACAAAGCAACGTTCGCTCAATCTCGAATCTCCAGAGCATCTATCGATGGATAGCCCGACAGGATTAAGCTCTTTTGTATGAATTGAAGTTCAATGTCAATAAACGATAACCAATGGATAGAGTCACCGTGCATCAAAGGTCGGACTGTGATATCAGGGTACTAGGTATTGACGTACTATTGACCTTCACATGTGGACATATTCCACATACTTCATTCGACAAACGGTTATAGCTTCTTCCTAGGTCATCAGCACGTTTTCACTATAAATAGTGCCGTCGGGAGTCCCCAAGCGGCGATTTACCAGCGATACGAGACGCCTTTGCCCTCATGCAGGCATAGGACATACGCTGCTTGGTTGTGTGTTTGTGTCTAGGAGAGGAGAGGCCAGACATCAGCTCAGCGTTCATTTGATTTGACAGTGGAGGCTGTCGTAGGCTCATCCTACCAGCAGCAATGGCTGTATGAACTCCGTCAAGGCGGGTGGACGAAGGCCAAAATAATGTGACTATGATTTCTTCTCCCATATAGACAGTGAAGAACGCACCGTTGTAACAGCGTCTCCCCTGCTGGAGACTGTGAAGTACGCGCTCCTGAAACGGTATTCGCTCCCATTCTAACACCATTCCATCCCTCCCTCAGATGTCGATTACGGACCGTTCTAACACCATTTCTCCCTCCCTCAGACTGTGGAGTACGGACCGTTCTAACACCATTTCCCGCCTACCTCAGACGGTGGAGTACGGACCGTTCTAACACCATTTCTCCCTCCCTCAGACGGTGGAGTACGGACCGTTCTAACACCATTTCTCCCTCCCTCAGACGGTCGAGTACGTGCCGCGCGGCGAGGAGGCCGGCGAGTCGGGCGCCGCCGAGCCCATGGACGAGATCAGTCAGGAGGAGGACGTGCCCGAGGACGAGGACGGGGACGAAGAGGACGAGGTGGGGGACGTTGAGGAGGAGGACGCCAGCCAGGGTGCGGCGGCCGGCCGCGCGGGGGCCGCCGCCGCCGCCGGTTCGGCCGGCCGGCCACACCTGCAGCCGTTCGGCGGGTCGGCGGCGACTGCCGGCGCCGGCTCCACCGCCACCGGACAGTTCGACGACGGCGACAGCATCGTGCCGAGCACGCCGACGCTGATGGTGCCCCGGCGCGGCGACGCCTTCGCCGAGTCCGTCCCGTCGCCGCAGGTGCGCAGGATGGGGAGGCGAGGAGCTGTAGTTGGTGCTGTGGCCATATGTTTAGGGGAGGTAGGTTGGGAAGGTTTGTGCACTGTTCGCGCACCTGTGCGGTGATGTGGTTCTTTAACAAAATGGGAAGATTTGTCAACTTGTGGCAGTAGTGAACGCTTTACTTGACTTCTTATTTTTGAAACAATCTGATCTTCAGCAATGTTTTCACGAGACATGAGCAGGGGCGTAGGCAGGGGGGGGGGCCACTGGGCCATGGCCCCCCCCCCCCTCCTTGGGCGCCGAAGGCGCCCTCCAATCGCAAATGCAATTGTGATATAATCGAATCGAAAAACAATCGCGACTGGAGGGCGCCCTCCAATCGCGAATGTGTTTACAGGGAAAATACGGATGGAGGGCGCCCTCGGAGGACGCCCATTCCAAATACGCCCTCCAAATACGGTTGGAGGGCTCCCTCGGGCGCCCTCCAACCACATTTGTAGGCTGTAGCTCTCTAAGCGTAACGGTGGTCGCCTATGTAAGCCGCTGTCCTGTAAATAAGCGCCCTCTCACCCGAAGGCGCCCTCCTGTAGGTCGCCACCCTGCTACACATTGCCGCCCTTCTGCTGATCGGCGTCCTCATAATTATTGGCGCTCTCCTACCTATTGAGCCCTCATGTGAAATTTTGAAGGCCGCCTTTCTCCCTTTTGGCACCCTCTTGTTCAGTGCCGCCCTCCTACCTATTGGTTCCCTAGTCCTTCCTGTTGAATGTTAATCGGGGCCCTTCTCCTATTGGCGCCCTCGTGTAGATCGCCGCCCTCCTAACCACTGGCACCCTCCTGTTGATCACCGCCCTCCTATCCACTGGCACCTTCCTGTTGACCAGCGCCCTCCGCACAGACGCCCTCCTGTTCGTGTCATCCTCTTGAGCAAAGGCGCCCTCCTCACCATTGCCACCCCTATTTTAATCATCACCCTTCCGCTCATTGGCGACTTCCAGTTGATGACCGCCCTCCCACCTATTGGCGACCTCTTGTTGATCGCCACCCTCCTATTGGTGCTCTCCTGTTCCTCGCCACCCTCTTACCTGGTGGCGCCGTCCTGTTGATTGTTGATCGGCGCCCTCCTACCTATTGGTGCCCTCCTGTTGATCGCTGCCCTTCTATCCATTGGCGCCCTCCTGCTGCTCGCCAACTTCCTACCTATCGGTGCCCTACTGTCGAAACTCGGGATGTTGATCGGGGCTCTTCTACCTATTAGTGCCCTCCTGTGGATCGCAGCCCTTCTACCTATTGGCAACATCCGTTGATCGCTGCCCTCCTATCATTTATTTACTCCTTTGGCATGTTTTTCAACTTAGTCGTTCTATTGCACATAGTTGATGTCTTGCCTGTGAAAACTGCCACAAATGAACGTGCATTCAGCACAATGAATGAAGTATCTATACCTACCAAAACTATCTACGCTCTACGATGCATAAAACACGTCTTTGGTCTTAACGGATTGATCCTACTTTACGTGCATCATGGCATCTATATGGATTACGATTAAGTATTGTCAACAGGTTCGGGCGCAACAGCAGGCATCTGAAGTTTCGGTGATTGAAACTGGTTATGTGGGTACACTGTATGCATCTGTGAGAAGGCTATGAAGGCTGGTCTGAGGTAATTTGGATGATGTTTACGCATCTCGCGCTCCGGTATCAATCCGATACGGTGATCTGGTGCGTAGATATGCCACCGCCAATAAACTTTTATACATCGACACCCATGAGCCAAGCTTTCTGTACAGTTTGTGTGGCAGCGGCCCGACCAAACCTTAGGTATTTTTTACACCTTCAAATTTGGTAAAAGAGCGAGAGGAGCTTTGAACAGTGATCGTATAAAAGGCGTGCCTAAAAAGCGGAGGAAAAGGTTGTTTTCAAAAATTTCGCGCGCCTTCGGCGCAGCATTTCAAGAACACTTGACCTTTTGTGACCTGGAGTATACTGAATACACACGATGCAAAATCAATGCAGCACGACCTATACGAGGTTACGCAAAAAAAAAACTGGTGGCATGGTAAAAAACGCCTCCCAACCCCCCAACCCCCACTGAGCGATTTTTTATCTCGCGACCGTATGGCGCCCTCCTTGGGTGAGGTGGCGCCCTCCAAACCCTTGGCCCCCCCCTTCGCGATTTTCTAAATACGCCGCTGGACATGAGCCTTGGTCGCTCACCGCTCCGACCCATTCCGTGCTGCTCCACGTGCCACCCCTGTCGTCCGTCTAAAGATGTCGCTGTGGTCCGTTGCAGCCGGTGGCGGGGGGCGCCGGCGCCGGGCCGTCCAGCGGTGACCAGCAGGCGCCGCTGGCCTCAGCGGCGGGTCTGGACGACACGCGGATGGATATCACCCAGCTGAACAGCCGCGGAGGGGAGCAGGACCCCCTGCAGGCGGCCGGTACGTACCGGTAGGAGGGGGCACCAGTTGGGTAGTGGGTTAGGAGGGAAAGGAGCGGAGCGATTTAGTGCTCGGTGAATGCATTTGTGGATGCTGGAGAAAGAGGTAGTTAGATGTTCAAAGATGCCATTACTTTACGCGTTTTAAACTGTGTTAATTGGATAATTCCGTTGTATTGTTGTAACCGATTGTCTACCATACATAATTTCCTGCCCAGTCATTTTAACGTTTCTCATGCATTTTGGTCGCCATTGGCGTGTACAAACCATGACTTTTTCAGGTTTTCCCCCTTCCTTGTACCCATCTCCCGTCTAATCCCCTCTCTCCCGACAGGCGAGCAGCCGGCGGCGGTCCCCCAGCAGCCAGCGCCGACCCGCCGACGCTCGGCGCCCCGTCTCCAGCGGCCACAGCCGATCGTCTGGGACCGGCAGAGCTCCCGGGAGCAGCCGGCGGCGCCATCCCCGAGCCGCGGCGCCGGCCGCGCCCGTCGCAGCCGCGGGCCGCGCGGACGGGGCCCGGCGCGCGGCGCCCGCTGAGTGGGGAAAAAGGACCCATATTGGGAGGATGGTGGAAAGGACTGAGACTGGAGAGCGAGGCTGTCAGATAACCGGCGATGTAAGGTGATTATTTCGCTGATACGTGCTTTTCTGTATGAATATACCACTGTTTTTCACCTTGTGGTTTATGAGAGCTGGTGAGGTGTCTCGGGTGACGTCGAAACTTCTTTCTGGTGGACGCTAGGTGATTATTAACCTCTAATTACACTGCATTTACTACCTAAGCATGTTAAGCTGTTAACTCCGAAGTCCGAACCGAAGGGTTGAATAGGTGGTTACGGGTTCGGGTGCCCGCAAAACGGGCCTTGCGTGGAAGCATCACGGGATTATTGCCCACACCCAGCCACATCGCCCGCGCACGGTTCTACCGGAAAAGTAAGACTGAGCCTACATATATTGCAGATAGCTGGCAACAGTCTGCGATCTTTGTTTGTTTGTTTGTTTTGTTGGGTTAGGCCCTTTCGGTCGACAAGACCATTGCAGAGCCGGAAGGATGATAGGATTTAGGGGGAGACATTGGTCTGGGCAGGCACCCTAGTGAGTCGCCGGGGCTGAGCCCGTCCAGAGGACAGGCCACCCAGCCCCAAGGCACTCACTGCACCCGGCTACGGGGTGCGCTCCCTCGGGAGCAGCGGTGCCGCTCCAAGGGAGCAGCCCGCATGAGATAAAGTTGCCTGTCCAGCCCGGAAAGGGGTTGTGGCGTGGAGGAGAAGGATTTAAGTATCCTGAGGATAGAAGCACGGATAGGTGTCTGCGATCTTTTGTGGCGCGCGTTACAGTGAGCCGTGAGCGCTCTTCTAGGCTCGAACTCTCTGCCACTGACTCACCAGTCGGACACCTTACCGACAGGCCACGCAGCAGACAATGTTCGTGGTCATACTGGACATTCATGCTTTTGAAAGGAACCCGATGGGCGTAAAATGTCCTGAGCTTTCGTAATCGCCACGCACCGACCCCCTTCGGGAAAAAAACACCATTATAACACCATTAAAAGTGAAAACACGCTCGTCCAGTGTCACCCGATGTATTTGCTTATAAATACAAAAATAAGAATATTGAACGGGGGCGTCGCCGGCGGCGGCCGTCGTGCAGAGCCCGCTCCGAGGGACACTGCTGGGTCGGACACCGCCGGCCGCCCTCCGCTCGCCAGTGACTGGAGGCACCCTGTGAAGGCACCGGTAACGATACGACTGGGCGCGCGCCGCGGCGGCGCGACACGTCGCCCCCTGGTCCCGACTGGCACTGACGCGCTACGCGCCACCAGATATTGCAGTAGTTCCACTGATCGCACACAAGCAGACAGACAACAGGCGGTATGCCGTAACATGCAAAACAACCACACTAGCCGGCGGACCCGGAATCGTCAGGGCCTTCGCGCCGAGCTCACAAAACACTCGTAACCAAAATAAAACGACTCGGTATCAGATCTACGAGAGACGCAGCGTCCCAACCGCAGCCGACTCCTTTCAGGAGTGAGGCGCCGAGCGGGCCGGACCAGCCGAGGTTCCTCGTGCTCCAGCGGGCTCAGCAGCACCCCAGCCGAGCGCCGCGGCACATCGGAGAAGAGAATATCACAGTTTACAGCAGGCGGGCGGAGATGGGATAAGGCGGGATCACCAGCGGAACTACGAACGAATCCTGATGTGTAACACATTCGGCAACGTGCGAGAACGTCAAACATTTTCGAGAGTTATTCTCGAGGGTTTTTGGTAGCGCTAAGCTCTTTGAGTACATATTTAAAACGACAGGAACAATAACGAAGTAAAACGCGAATTAAAACTTAAAACTTGCTTCTTAAACAAACATTTCTTCATAAAACTAACCACTTGACGCCTCGCCATCCTCGCCCCACGCTCCGGTGTCCCACATCGTCCCGTCTCCCCCGCCCAGCTCGTCTAATCACCCACTCCATACCCACATTCCCCGCGCGGTCACACGTCGAGCTCGTCCAGAGTCCGCGACAGCCTCTGCGTCTCGGTGCGTTTGCGCTGGCTGCGTCGGACGGCGTCGGCCCGCCGGTAGGGCTCGTTCTTCAGACCGAGGAGGATATCCTCCAGGGCGCCGTGGTAGACTTCCTCCTGGCCCAGCAGCTTCTTCTCCTGAACAGAGCCGCCGTGAGGGGATGACTTGGATTTGAGCTCTTGGATCACCTCCGCCTGACGAGGCACAGAGAGGAGAAGGTGTCAGTGTCGCCAAACGATAGCAGAAGAACCACGCCACAATGAACACTAGGCAAGCCCCACGTTGAACAGGCAAAAAGTAAATAGAAAGAAAGATCGGTGATCAGAAAAGATATTAATTGCGACACATCACATACACCGAAGCATCGACTGTGCCTCTTTATCCAGCTGACCTGTTGCTTTTTGGCGTTGATCTTGTTCCGTTTGTTGACGGCGACGTTGTTGTTTTCTCGCTCGGACGCGGCCGCCGCCGCCGCTCGCTCCATCTTCCGTCGGTGCTCGTTCTCTTGCTCAGCTTGCTGGAAAAGGTCATAGGTCACCAGGTTAGGTCACATATCCACGGACGGTGTGTGCTCTTTAATGATGCTAAACTAGATATGGGTGATCAAATTGCATACCAAGAAGCGCAAAAGTTTCACACAACGCAGGCAAAAAGACAGGTGGCAGTTAGCCAATTTAACCACGCACGCTAGGGCCGAACTGACCTTGAGCGCTTTGAGGAAGCGGGCGAAGATGGCGAAGAACGTGTTGGCGGCGATGGTGCGGCTGCTCTCGCCGAAGTACTCGACGGCCCGCTGGTAGGCCTCCTGCGCCGACTTGCTCTCCACCCGCAGACGCCTGGACAGGGCACCCAGAGGGTGGGTCAGCATTCACATGGAGGATAGCGAGATTCAGGTGGATTCCGGTACGAAAATGGACAAAATCATCAGATACACATCACCAGGAGGCGTCTACATATCATGTTTTTATCATGTGCTCCCGATGTCGGACTTGACATAGTAAGCGGTTTCAAATTCGTTCACCACTAAGCACAGCAACCAATCAATTCTTAGACCAACCACTTTCCCAACTCCCTCGTCCCTCGCCCCACGTCCGTCCTCCCCCACACCCACCTGAGTTTGTCGTCCGCTCCGCCGAGGAAGTCCCTGAGCGCCGTCTTCATCGAGTCGTCCTTGACGTTCTGTCTGACGTACATCTCTCGCCGCGTCGCCTCCATGCCCTTCTCCAGTTCCGAGACATCCGTCATGATGTTCTCCAGAGACACTGGCGAAGCGGAGAGGGGAGGGAAGGTTTACATTGGGAGCTCGGAGAGACATGAGGTGGCGCCAGAGGCACGGGGTAGTCTCTGGAAGGGATACCCGCTCGGGGAAGGCCGGGGGTAGCACGGGGTTTCGTAAAGACAAGGAAGTTACAGCATTGACATGTGATATATACCGATGGCACACGAAAATAGTTATATGTACAGGTCTCGCGAGATTAAGCGGTAGGTTTTGCACTTTTACATTTCCGGTTATATCTCAGAAACTAATCGATCTACGATGAAGCCATTTTACACGATCATGGCCGGCTTGTTACCCAACAAGTCGATAGCATCTTCAACACTTAAAAGCTTAAGACGACGAAGATATAGCCTGAAGTACACTAAATTTTCTAGGTGCAAAACCTACCGCTAAAACCCGCGAGACCTGTACATCATGTCAGATTTTCAACCATCCGTCCAGTCAAAGATGACCCACTTTATGGCGGAGGAGTAATAAATTTTAAGCTGAAGTTTATATCGAAGCCGCACTGTTTAGACGGCAGCGACCAAACCTCCACCGGACTCCCTAGAAACTTCACATGACATCAGCTGGGTGATGCACAAGATACCCTTGCCACCCTCCCAGGCTCCACCACTACCACTCACCCTGGGCGGCCTTCTCCACAAATCGCAGCTCGGACTCGACGCCGACCGCCTCTGGCACCCTCTCGTGGATCGTCTGTGCGATGTAGTGCATCAGACAGCGCTTCTTATCGGTGGTCTTGGTGTCGGTCAGGTTATCCAGCGACTGCAGACGGAAGCCGTACGCCGGACCGCGTTTGGCGCTGTTCATGTAGTTACCGAAGGCCAGGATCACCTCCAGCACTCGGCGTAGCCGCTTGGAGGCCACGATCGAGTTGGAGGCGCTGATGACCGCGTGGATTTGCTGCGCGGAGAGGTGGCGGTTAGATAAACGCGGTAAGATAGTGGAAGGTTGCCGAAAGTAACCGGCGAGCTTCGATGACCGTTTATCAGGAAGTTAAACGTCAGGAAAATAAAAGTTAAGTCAAGACAGGTTATGTCAAGTGTCGAAAAATGTTTTGTCAAGAGTAGTTATTAATAGCTGAGCAGTTGAGCTATTGTAGCATAGCAGCATTACAATCTGATTCTATTCCTCCCTTACCGGGCCTCCCCCCACGGCCCACACACTCCACCCCACCCCGCATTCAACCGTCTCTCCACTGACCGGCTGTACTAGGTGGATGTTGTCGAAGAAGTTGCCCATGTAGGCCATGACGGAGAGCTTGTTGGCGAGCCTCTCGACCCTGGTCAGCTGCATCAGGTACTGGTCCTCGTCGGTGAGGGCAGAGACGTCCTTCCGCTCGGCCTCGTACTCGCGGTACAGCTTCGTCTGTAAAGGGTGAGAATGTTAATTCATAAAGGCGTCAGGGTAATGCGACGAAAGGAAGGGGAGGGTTAGCTATACCGTGCGAGGACTGAGGCGGTAAAATAGCGAAGGAAAGACGGTATAAGTAGTGTGTCAGAGCTGTGGGCGGTAAGAGAGGTTATATTTGATTGGCATGACATTCGGCTACTGCCTACTGCGGACCACGTGTCTGACTACCGGGTACGAACTGGGCGTCATCAATCATCTTACGCACCCAATCAACTCGACATCAAACATTTCAAAAGCATTGCATCAGTGAACGTACTGCAGAGAACAGAAGCCCATAATAAATCACACCGCGTCTCGACATCCCACAGCCGTCCATAGCCATCATTAATCGTCGCCACTCATTCCACGCCCTTAGCAACAGCTACACTGACGGCACATTCACCCACCTCGGCCTCGGTGGGGACCATCCTCTGGAGCAGCTCCACCATCTCCAGGGGCAGCGCCTTCAGGTCCAGCATGTTGATGGCTCGGATCACCTCCTCGACGGGACGCTCCAGCTTCCGACGGGAGATCGCTGTCGGCGGAGCGATGACAGGTCAAGCAAGATACGTGAGGTCAGGTCAGGTTAGGTCAGATCGTGAAGACACCATCACCGCTGGAGCTGGGTCGAGTCAGCCTACCCAGTCAGATAAGCACTCAAATTAAACAGTTTAGCCAAACAGCTACGTGCTAAATATGTCAGATAATAGGACAATGTCAGCATTTACCCAAAAAATAAAATAATGCCAGTTTTGCCAGTCGTAAAGTGAAGGCCTCTTTCAAAACGGTCAAGAGCTGGGACCGTTCTTGGGCATCCGAGTCACCACTTGCGAAAGCCATTCATCTCTCCAAGGAATCCATCCCAGCCCTCCCTCCCACCCCTCCGGCGTCTCCAAGCGGCTGTCTCCCGTCGCCGACCGCTCCGCCAGAGGACACATTGCTGGACGCATGAGTCACCGGCGTCGGAGCCGGCGACACGAGTCTGTTTATCCCTGCGGCGACCGCGGCCGGCAGATGAGCGGACCACGGCCGGCCGCAGGACACCGCTCGACCCCCTGAGTCACCGGCGGGCACACGGAGCCGACCGCTGCCAGAAGTGTGCTGCACGGCGGCTGTACGCGGTGAGGACCGGGTGGTGCTGCCGACGGGAGCGTTACGGGGAACGTAGGAGCGCGTTACAGCTGTGGTCGAAGCTGGGATCATAGTCGGCGCCAGGGCAGGAGACGGAACATAAGCCAGGGCAGAGACACGAACCGCAGTCCCGCGACTGCGTTAACCACAGTTTTCGTCTGTATAACTCGGCCATATAACTGCTGCCAATCATTCATGCCTTACATATACATCCCAGCCGGGAGAAACCAGAATCTGAACTAACCAGTTGCCTGAGTGTTCCTTTTTAGATAAGTCGCATCATCCATCCTGCCACCCCCAGTCCCTACTCCGCAGCTGTCATCATTGCCCCCACCTCCAGCCCTTACCCGACCCTAACGCCCATACGCCGTCTACTGCCTGACTGGACCATCCGTCACAGGCGAGTAACATATGTCTGCCCTCCGCGGTGCCCCGCCTCACATCGTATCAGCCATATACACTCACAGATCATCGCCGGGTGTTTACGAAAGTGACGGGTCTCATGGCCATCGAAACGAAAACAACCGATAAACAGGGTACACGCTGGAACACCCATGACGGAGCTACAAGGTGGCTGATTCACATACATTCATGATTCAAGTAACGACATTTAAATCGGATGTTACATATAACAAGCAAAGTACAAAAAAGTACAAGCGCAATTTGACTTAGAAAAGTGTGTGCTGTAATAAGCTTCAAAGTTCTAAAGCCTAAAAATAACCATCCGCACTCAACTGGAGTTGCGTTCTCGCCCCATCTCACCAATGTTCCTCAGCCGGTTGTGCTCGAGCAGCGATGTTTTCTCGGGCCGTTTGAAGCGTTTGCTGCCCAGCGTGCCGTACTGCCCGTCCCGGCTGTCCAGTGTTCCGTTCGGCAGCAGGCTGGTGCCGATCTTGAAGTGCTCCTCGAAGTCGCCAAAGTCGATGACGTTCATCAGCCGGTCGTCGTCGAGCTCGTTGAAGACGGTGCCGCGTACCTGAGGGCGGGGAAGACGGTGAGAAGAGGAGAGGGGGTGAGATCCGAAGGTCGTGATAGGCGATCAGAATGAGAGGACAGAAGAAATGAGGAGAGGATAGGCAATTGTGACAGGAAGCTTGGAAAGACAGTGGAGACGGTAAGAAAGAATAGGTGAAAGCGCAAGACCGGGAGATGGCGCGGCTGAGGTGGTGCAAACTATCCTTTAACGACCGAGCGTGCAGATAAGGGATGGGCCTACGTGGAACACAACATGCTATACGTATTTCTATGAAGAAACTGACGCAGAGGGCCACCAGTGGCACCAAACATATCAATATTTAACGTTTACCCGAAGATATACTCACCAAAACAGCATTATTCTGTGAATTATTTTGACAAATTCAGACCGTGCATGTGCCGGAGATAAAACAGTAAGATTATTCGTTAAATGTTTATCTGCAAAATGCAGCCGTCTATAGCTGCGATATTATAACATAAACAGTAGCAAATTAACGTTACACAACCCTTCCCGACCATCTGAACTGTTTACATCGTCTCCTTTCGTCCCGCCCTCAGTCCTATACGTCCTTCCGTTCGTCTGCTACTCGCGCGGCGTCGGGCCCCAGTCCGACGCCAGTGGTTCGGTTTGAGCGCGATCCCAGCCTCACCTGGTTCGGTTTGAGCGCGATCCAGTTGAGGGTCGGCAGTTTGTACTTGGTCTGTAGGCGGCGTTTGATGGTGAACGAGCCGTCCTGTGGCAGCACTAGCTGCCCGGGCGGAGGCGGCGGCGGCGGCGGCGGACCGCCCATACCGGGCGGCAGCGACGGAGCCGGCGGGATCCGGCCGCCGGGCGGGGGCGGCGGGGGCGGCGGCGGCGGCGGGGGCGGCGGGGGAGCGCCGGCCGGGGCGGAGGCCGGTCCCGAGCCGCCGCCGCCGCCGCCGCCGCCGCCTCCCGTCTGGGGGATGGAGAGGGCGAATGTCTCCAGCTCCTGGATCTTGCCCTCGAGCATGGACTGGCGGCGCATCGACTCGGCCTCCTTCTCCGAGGCCACGCGCCGCAGCGCCGACACCTCCTCGGTGAACTGTCCGAGGGAGAACACACAGCGTCACACTTTGTAGGGTGGGAAGCAAAGGAGGGCAGACGATGACAAAAGTCCTCCTTGACCAAAACAAACAACTTGCAAACTGAGTGAGCTGAGTAGCAAAATGAGCATATGCTGAACAATTACAGCTACAGAACGCTCACGTCGCTCTCCCTTACCCACGATATCGACCTGACAAGCATCAGGCATGCGATTGCTCATTTACCCCGCCCACGTTTCAGCCCCCGGCCTCCCCACCGTCCTACCGACACCCCGGACACCGACCTGTTGCATTTTCTCCATCAGCTCGTCCCGCTCCCTCCGCACATCAGCCATGGCCTGTTCGAGGTCGCACACTTTGTGCATGGCCTCGGCCTCGACCTCCTGCATCTCCTCCTGGGCCTGGGCCAGCTCCGACTCGAGCTCCTCGGCGCGCTCAATGTACACGGCCTTGGTCATCGAGTCCTCCATCAGCGCGCCCACGTCGAACACGTTGTCCAGGTAGGCCGAGATCTGGACCTGCAGGAGAGTCGAGGGGGAAGGAGGTTAGATACGAAGACAGACAGCACCGGATAATCAAAATTGGAGCCAAAAGTGTTGATATCCTATCCCGTCACTCGTGTCTGCTACGTATACATCGACCGCTGCGTCTGGTTTTCATTTATCTCTCCCCTCAGTGCCACCCTACCTTGCTGCTTTTATTCCCTCAAATATTTCTCCTCCCTTCATGTCCTTTTTTCTCCCTGCCTCCCGTCCCTCTCTTCTCCCTCCCTTCCTCCCATTCCTCTAGCATCGCTCTAGTCCGTTCCCACCTTTTCCCTCCCTTCCGTCCTCCCGTCTCTTCATTCCTCCCCTCCCATCCGGTCCTCCCGTTCCCCACCTGCAGTTCCTCGCTCTCTGTGTGCCTCAGTTTCTCCAGGTACTCGTCCAGTCCCAGCATGGAGAACTCGTACTGCAGGTGCACTCGGAAGTTCATGTCCTCCACAGAGTGCACCACGATGTTGATGAACTGCATACAGGCCACCTGGGGAACAGAAGATAGTCATTATCCAGCGCTGTGGTTTTCGTCGAGGTACTCCGCAGATAATATCGAAAGACGAGCCACGTAGCTTATAATGCTAAAAAAAAACTGAGAAAATAAGTGATAAGATAAATAAAAGACCATGAGAAATGCGAAAAACCCGCACACATTTTAAGATGAATCGCCTTTATGCTTACACGACACACTCATTCAGTCAGAAAGTTCTAGTAAGCATGTAAGCTCATTACGGAGCGAGCGAAGCGAGCGGAGTCTTTCCTTAGATTAACGGAAATTTCTGAGTATGAGCGGCCGGCCGGCCGGCCGGCCGGCCGTGGGGACGCTCTTCAAAAGCTAATATCTTAGGAACGGGACATCCGATTGACAAGCGGTCTTCTTTACTGAATGTCACTTGGACGTAAAAGTTCTGTGGTGTGATGGCCACCATGCGTTCTTGCCAACCACCGCACGTGGCGCGTGGTAAAGTTGGACATTTTTTAAGAACCCCCAAAATTGCAACCTCAATAACGGCACAACGGTTGGGCCGATTGAATTGAAACTCGGTACACAGTTAGGTCTCCATCAGATAATTCATCTGCATGTGTTAAGGTTGGGGTGCTACTGCACGTGCGCACGTGCAGGGGTCGTTTCCAGATCTCGAGAACGGCTGGACCGATGGCGCTCAAATTTGGTACACGGTTAGGGACCAACCAGTTAGTAGGGTGCCGTGCACAAGTCAGTTGGGACCCATTTTGCACGTGCGCACGTGCAGGGTGCCGCTTCCAGATCTCGAGAACGGGTGGGCCGATTGTGCTCAAATTTGGCACATCGCTAGAGACCGGTTACTAGGGTGCCGTGCACAAGTCAGTTGGAGGTACCCCCTCGAAATTTCGCACGTGCAACGCTCACCCTCTCGCTCGCTCCGTTAGTCGCCCCAAAAGGCGTTATACTGGTGAATAGCGGTTACCGGTCGTTCCCAGTCACAACATATATTTCCCAACCCTGTCACGAAGTCGGCGACCCATCACGCAAGGACATTTGGACATGAACCCCGTCATAAAACCACGTCGCGACGGTTTTTGCTCCCGCCCGCCGAGTCACTCGCCCGCGTACTGACCATGAACTCAATGTGAAAGATGTCGTAGTGAACGAAGTACTTCATCAGCGTCTGGAAGCGCCGGTCCTCGGAGCAGACTTCCTTGAACTTTGTGAACGCGCCCAGTATGATCTGGTGGCCGCCTTTGACCAGGCAGATGGCGGCTAGTAGTTCTAGTACCAACGCCTTCGTCCTGCGGACAGCGGGAGGGGGCGGTGTTATTTATGGGTTTATCACTATTCAGTGGGTGTGGACCAGCCATGAGAATTTAAATAGTGGCGTTACATGGTGTCACCAGCGGGTGTGGCACTACATAATGTCAAATGAGGCACGACACAGACGACAGTGTGGTGATACTTTGCAATGAAAGTCAGGCAGCCGATGACAAGTCTCTGGAATGACTGGCAGGACTTCAACGCTGATACATCTGTAGCTGAAGGAATGTTCAGGCCAATTAAACACGACACCGACCACAGGAACTACGTAGACACTAGACAGGAATGTTATAAGCAGTCCATAAGACAGATCACATTATGCTGCACTCAAACTGAAAACATGAAATTAGACTGGAGTCTAGCCTAGCCATCGGTAATAGGGTTGTAGGAGCGGCCACTCAAAGGACCTGCAATATGTAGTCGGTAAATATTTATCAAATCACGTCTCTGGTCTTTGATTATGTCAGTCGGCGGCAGGGGTCATCAGCTCACACCACCTATCATCAGAGGTCAATCGACACGCTGACCTCGCAACTGCATTCCAGTAACGACGCCGATCGCCAAACAAAACAAACTCATTGTGTTGGGATGTTTGCAAAACCAACAAGTCAACATTCACTACAACCGAGCATCGTAGGGCGCCAGGAATAGGTAGCGTTTCATCCAGCCTTTTCTCGACTACACTTCTTTCATAGTTGTATTTCATACACGGATTCCTATGACGAGCTTTGTAGAATAAACTTGCTTATGTAATATGTACCATGTCATGCCTTGCACTCAAACACTCCTCTGATGACCCCTGACACACCAATGACCTCTTTCGAACCATCACCGCCTGGATACAGTCCCAGCTGCAGCATAGTGATGAGTGACATCTCCCACTCTTTAACCAACCGACCTCCCAACCTCCCGACCGGTCTCCGACCGACCAACCGACCGGTCTCCGACCGACCGACCGACCGACCGACCGACCGACCGACCGAGCGGCTCTGTTTGACGGTACAGACCGTTGGGGTGGACACTGGACAGATCGCTGATGATCAGCGGGAGTTCTTGATAACCCCAGCTAGATTCTCTCTGACGGACCCTGTAGCCGCCCTGCAGTGCAAACGGCCCAAGTGGGTAGGGCACACGGCACAGGAGACTGACCAAGCCGCAGCGCAGGGTATTTGTTCTGATGCGGTGAGCGTCACCAAAAGATAAGTTAATACTGTTTTAGCAAAGATCAGCAGCAGCATCCTTTTTTTGCGAATACAAATTGCTAGGCCCTGTGATCTGTCAGGGAAGCTTCCGTTGTCCCGACCCGAGAATCTTGGTCCCGAACCAGCCGCCTCGACTATAAGCCTGCTTTCGGTTTACGGGATTCAACACAGTGGAAAGGACCACAGCGGGGGCGGTAGCGGGCCCCGTCGCCTGACGGCATCCCAAACGGCAGTCGCCCCATAAACAAGCAGTAGTGGCCCGAGCGACTGTCAGAGCCTGCCTGCCAGCCTCCACTACCCACCGCAGTACCCCTCCCTCTCCCCGGCACACACCGGGGGTATTCATAACGCTGCCGTCTGCAGGACGACCCGCCAGTCCGCAGCCGCCATCCATCCCACGTCCGTATCTTCAATAAACTTCCGTCCGGCACTGTTGATCGTAATGAGGCCTCCCGAAATAAACTATACCGAGCGGCGAGCCGTATGTGACGAAGGCTAGGAGCGAAGGCCTTGCAGCGACTGGGCTGTAATGCGACTGAGCGAGCTGAGCACGAAGCGTAGGACTATATGTGGGAGAAGGCTTAGAAGAGTTGAAGATGATGCTTACCGTAAGCTCTTGTGGTTGAGGCTGAGCGCTATGCTGTTGATGGCCTCGAGGTGTTCGATGATCATGTTGAAGCCGAACTATAACAAAGAGGAAAGGCGCAGCCGTCAGAATACTGAAAAAAAACGCATTATTGGCTACTATCACCCAAACACCGAATTATTTTTTAGCACTAGAGAATGGTGATCAAAGGTTCGGCATAATCGCAGTCATACCCATTGCGTCGCTTTGATACGTGTTACACATACATACATATAAAGGTACCAGCGAGCTCGGCGTAACTCTAACTGCATCAAGCGTTACCCCCTGATCGTCGCCTAGGGACCCCGCTCCGCGCCACCGCGCCTCATAACTCTGTCCTTCAGCGGAGCCGCGGCACAAACTAATGGACTCCGCACACGACGATGGACATATTGCAGACCGCAGAGACGGCGGGGAGCGATATATTTACACCACGAACAATGTCCCATAGGACGAGCTGCACAAATTACTCCATTGAAAACTCGGGACAATAGACGGCCACACTTTCCGCCTTGGGTAGGTACCAAAGTGTACCTGCGCCCGGACAAAGACCAATGGCCGGGGCCGTCTATCAAAATGCGTCAACGAACTCCCATATTATACCGCAAAACATCATTTGTCTGGACTTTTTTCCAACCCCAATGGTGGATACCGACATAAACTTGCATATTAGATCGTTATGGTATAACGGAACTGAGAACAGCTTATAGGAGATTGTCTGGCGAAGGAGCCCCTCCCTCATGGGACGCTCACAGGCGCACAATGATGGAGCGGCTGTCAACACGGCACATTAGCTGTAACCCCAATACGTCACCACTGTACTGACAGCTCCACCTGCACATGACAGTGACAGTGCTGTCACCGTCGCCACTCTGCGGGGGCGCTGTGTCGCGTGGGTCCCCTCCCGTTAGACCCCCACTGGGGCATCGGACGACCACCGCGACCCAGCGACCACCGGCTCAGTACGGCGGCCTACCGCTACTACGAATGGGGGTGGCAGTGACTCAGGGACCGGTCTGCCAGTGGCGCCTTACGGAGTGCTGGCCAGTCGGTCAGTCGGTCAGGCAGACAGACAGCAATACCGCTGCCATGACCTCATGATCAACAATATGTCCCCATCCCCAACATAGTCTTCGTCACCCGCCGGTAATGCAGTGCAATGCAATGTATTTAAAGTACAACTCATACTGGCAGTAGAGCACGGTGCAAAATACCGGCAGTGCAGTAAGAACTCGTGATCAACAGGTGACCTCGGGCCCGGTAGGCGGCACTGGACACGGGCCAAGTCACGGGATCGGCAAAACCCTACTTTGGCATGCAGTCCCAGTGGGAACTCAGTGGTCTACTGCAGGGACGGACCGTGCGATAGCTGATGTGCAGGTCAAATGCAGATTGAGGAAGATCGACATCTGCAATGTCATTGACCCCGCTCCCATCTCGGCTCAATGTGGCTCTCCGTTAGTCCGAATGCAAATACTGAGCTCCTCTTCCGTGTATCGATTGCTAGCTCCCCGAGAGCTCCCACACTTGGTAATGATAGTCGCCACCCTTTCATTAATTCACTGCATTAACGGCTCGTCAACTCTGACAGTCCGGGAGAGAGAGAAAATCATAGATCACGCACCCGATAATCAAGACCCCAGCTAGGCACAAAGATGAGCCATCAGCGCCCAAAACGCGAGAGGGAACGATGAACCATCAGCGCCCAAAACGCGAGGGGCAAAGACGAGCCATCAGCACTCAAAACGCGAGAGGCCCCACCGATGGTTCATTTGCCGCGCATTACCGACAAAGGGGGTGCGGAACAGGCGCGACCCACGTGTCACCCAGGTGTGGGCGGGAGATGGGGCAGATAAATCGCACAGGATCAACAGCCATCGATCAGGGAAGATGGAGCGAGGGAGATCACTGCCCATCATTAGAAGGGGAGCGCCGAATAGCAGCCCCCACTCAGCGCGAAGGTGAGAACATGCCGCAAAAATGCATTTCGGCCGCGAATAACTAATAAGGGAACATCGCATAGCTATCGCGTACTCAATCATCGTTTGATGATTAAAGATTTAGCTGATAACTCGGTTGTTGTAAAACACAGACGAATTTACGGATACTTCTGTTCGAAATCACTCGGATCACTCAACTTCTGTACGGATCACTCAACTTCAACGACGAAATGAGCAGAGCATTAATAAGGTATATGTATATGCGGCGCCATTCCATTGTTTGTTGTACTTCAAGCGGTTGGACCGACGGAGCTCAAAGCGCATTCACATCTCTGTACCGCCATCTGGAAATGACTGGCCGTTGACCGCCCGGGAAGGCGCCGCTGTCGCCGGTCCAATCTATAACCGACATCACTGACGATCGCCATAATATTCAGCACCAGTTGACCACCGTGCTGCAGTCTAAACTAAAACAGAGTGGCGCCACCCTGACGGCCGGACGGCTGACGGTTGGGGTTACACAGTGACAGAGGTGGGGAGGGAGGGTGGACGGAGGAAAGGACAGCAAATAGGACAGCGGATGATAACTGGAATCAGCGAGGAGAGGAAGCAGGGGACAGGGTAGTAGACGGGGCAAGACAATAGGAAGAGATCCAATGGACTTTGGAGGGCAATAGAGTAACGATGGCGGATACAGAATGCAGATGAAGTAAGAGAACGGCAAGAGCTGAGAGCAAGAGAAAGAGTGAGGAGCAAAGACAGCTGTCCTCACTCCACTCCACCCCTCGTTTGCTCCTGCGAAATCGATGGAGGTCCCCCTCCCCCTGTTTATAACCCCCTCCCTACCGGCAGCTGACTGACCCCCTCCCCCTCCTGCAACAGCCGCGGCACAGCAGGGGACCCGAGAGTCGAGGGAGGGCGGTCGGTGGTGGGGAGGGGAGGGGGGTCGCCGGTCAGCCGTGCCGAGCGCCATAGGCGGTGTCTTTTGGTCAATATCTCTGGACTAAGGGTCAGCACTTCACGGCGACGAGAGCTCACCAAAAACACACCTCCCCCCCCAAAAAAAAATGAAATGAAAGGAAATGCCTGCCATATGTTCTATTTTGACCAAGTACATCCTGAAATAACAGAATTTCCCCGGGTCTTAACGTAATGTAACGATTCTTGACGGTCACGTCTCACAAATATGACTTGCAAACTGGATCTTCTGATGTCATATCGATATTTCTGGAGCATTTCTAGCAGCATTCGTCAGCCACCGACCGCGTACCACATTTGTTTATGAGCAAATCGACCACTTGCGCATCTTGAACACTGATCACGTAAAATCCCAGAAAACGGCAGTCACCCAGCTGCTCATCTGTTGAGTTCGCCGCACCGAAGACGTCACGACAGTAAGACTCCATGACTCTACCATTGACTGTACCACAATGACTGTACCAGATCATTGGAGTCACACTCATTAAGTCATTGCGATCATGCACGTGGTAGCCAGATGAGTCATTTGAGCGGCACCAGACACCCCCAATGATTATCCCGCACGCTATGCTAGTCTGTTGCATGACTAATATCAGATGACGCTTGAAAAGATTAAGCTAAACCCTCCAAATGCAACTAAATAGCCACGTCTTACCCATTCCACTCTCACATTACTCACAAACGTACATGTTTACAACTGACATGGGACATTGCCGTTTATTTCGCGCATCTTCTCGTCTATTCCGTCTCAAAGTTTGAGTAATTTATCTGTCTGAGAGCGCTGCTGTCTCGTTCTCCGCACGAGCCTGCGGTCGACTACTCCCACTCACTCCCCTTCCTACGACGACTTCTCTGCCCATCCAGAGCACTCCAGTGCAGCCGCCAGTCGCCGGCCATTCGTCACAGTTCAGCTCGTGTGTGCAGGCTCCAGTGAGACGCCCAGCCCTGCCCTGCAGCTCCGTATACCACGGCCGCTGACGGCCGCGTCAGCAGCGGCCACAGCGGAGGCGAGCGAAGGGGTTAAAGACCTGGAGGCCGGCGGTTTGACCTTTTCTCGTCATACGATATAGTTTATTTACAAAGAAATGTGATGTCCATAGCAGCAGTGGTGACATCCAAGCTCGTCATGAAGTCAATTACATTCCTAGTTAGTTGGATAAGTTTAGCCCTACATTCCTAGTTTGATAAGTTCATCCCTGGGCCCGCCTCGGGCAGCATTTCCGGGGGAGGGAGGGGGCGGGGGTGGCTGTGAGGTAAGCTCGTTAAATGCCGCAGCTGGGGCGGTGCATCCGCCCCTCATCCTCCGCCCCTCCCCAGCTTCCTTCTCCCAGCGACTGACTGGGTCTGCACATGCACGCCTCACGTCCCCTTCCCTTCCCCACGCCCCGCACGCCTCGAGGGGGCTTGTAAGGACACAGTGGGTGAAGGGCAGCCCGTTCCTCTCTTGTCCTCACTTATTGCGATGATGCACAAATACGTTTTTATGTAAATTGATGCTCAACAGTGACATGGCGGAAAATCTGCACCACTCATGCCTCGGTAATGTGCACGTGAGGCTCTAGTAAGATCTTTACAGCTAAATCTTTACAACAAGACTTTTCCATCATCCATGTCGGTGCTTCTGCTACTTCACATAGCCGACCAGAGAAAATGAGCCATTCCCTGGGCGGTTTACAAACATCTCCACATTAGACCGGTCATCAGACAGCCACCGGTGCTCCGCGCCGACTCATTCTCCTTCTCAGTCCATTTACAGCCGCCCAACCGAATCATCAAACAGTCGCGGTAAGCAGCTACCGAATTACAAACACCCACTCAAAACCGGGACGAGCCACACCCTCTCCCGCCTCTCTCTCTCTCTCTCTCTCTCTCTCTCTCTCTCTCTCTCTCTCTCTCTCTCTCTCTCTCTCTCTCTCTCTCTCTCTCTCTCTCTCTCTCTTTCTCTTCTCTCCCTCCTTATCTCTCTTTCTCCCCGCCCCTCTCCTTTTCCCCTTCCGTCGTCCTTCCCGATCTCTGTAAGTTTTTCTCTCCCTTTATAGCTCACTTACTTACTTACTAAGTCACTCACTCATTCATTCTATCTCTCCCTGGCCTAATCACCCACCTTGTTGTTCATGATGGCCCTGAGACACATGATGCAGACGTGGATGTCATCCTTGGTATCCCCCATGTTCAGCTTGGCGATGTGCCGGGAGGCCCTCTTCAGGCGCGGCGTGTCCAGTTGGCCGATGAAGCTCTGCCGTGACCAGGAGGTCCTCTCGATCCGGGGGGCTGGCGGGTCGCGGTGCTCGTGGTGATGATGATGGTTGTGGTGCCGGAGAGGCGGCGGTGCCAACTCGCCGCTGCCGCACCGCTCGTGCTCCAGAGCCTCGTCCTCGCGCTGCTGCTTCGCTCGCTGCTCGTGCCTGGAGGAGAGCGGTAGCGACGACGGGTCAGCACAGTAGCTAACGCGAATCAAACAAATCGGTTGAACGGCAAGACAACGAACAGGAGCATTTAATAGCCACATTTTCTCAGCACATGTGACCAGTCTCACCACAGCAAACCGTAAGGATGGAGACACACAAGTGCACAAAGGACGATAATGCGTAAAGGCCGCACTCAAACCACGACATGGGCATGGAACATGGGCAAGTTACTTTAAAAGCCTTCAAGCCCTCACAACCTTCAGCGCCCAAAGAACAACAACCATTCCATGTTCACACCACGTAACTACCATTGCCCGAATTTTATCGTACATAATTGGAATCAAGCACCACATCAAATAACCGTAGGCGTCCGATGAATCGGTCATCAAATACAAATCAACCCCGACATTCACATTATCATCGCCTGGCCAATTACTCGTCACGGGCCAATCAGGTCACACGATCCTGTGAACCTCTGAACACAGTCAGCTGAGCACTGCGACTGGGGTCACTCCGGGGTCACCTGGGGGTCGCTCAGGGGTCAACGCTGACGTCACGGAACGAGTTCGACCAGGTCGAACACAGGTCACCGCTCTCCTGTTATCCGTTAGCGGCATGTCTTATCACCGAATGCAAACACGGTAAATTGGACTGCCCAGCCGCCCGGTTCATCAGTCATGACCCGTCAATCACCTCCCCTCCACTCCCCCTCAACCCCCTCCCCCCCCCCCGACTGACAGCCTTTTGCTAGTCACGACACACCACACTGACAGGCTGCACACAATGACTGCGCAGAAGAGCAGAGGCGCCCAGTCGACAGCTGGGATCGAGCAGCCGAGCGGGAGGTCGGAGGCACGTCAGTTGTCCGGGGGGGGGGCAGCTGGAGGGAGCTTAGGGGGGGGGGAGCACACACGCCGGGGGACAGACACCTGAGTGGAGGGGAGCACTGGCCGCAGCGACCGGCAGCTGACCCCACACCGGCGGCGGTCCGAGAGGGAGGAGTAGCGTCCGCCAGCTGCCACCGCGGTCTCACACCAACACACGGACATACACGCGGTCAGATGGTATCTCCGGCCAGACCAGACGCGGCTGGCGGTCTCACAATGGTGGTCCGCCGCTGCCGGAGGTCCCACGGACACCCGAGCACGTGTCGTCAACTCTGAACACGCCCCAGTGGTGATTTAACGACGGCCTCCGCTAGCAATTACCGGCCGGTTGAGATAGGCGGCCCAGATAACAGCACGGTAGCGGAGAACACGAATGGGGTGTGGAGGGTAAAACCGGAGGGAGGGGGGGGGGAGCTACAAGCGAATGCGGTGAAACCGGAGCAAACGGTCGATATGTGCCGCGATCAGAGTTCATATCGAATCATGGGAAACGCAAGGCGTCATGACCTGCGCACACAGAAAGTGTGCGCATTCATGGCCCGCGCGGCGCACCAGTGCACAGCATCCTGTTTGGATTACGGTGGTTATCGCTGGCTCAGAGGTGAAGTCAGCCTCGGTATGAGGCAAGGACAGCGCCAAGGCGAGCATGACTGGCAGAGGTTGCAGCGTTGCAGCAATGCGTCTTAATTATCAGTTGCCTTGTCCAGGCCGAATCACCAGCGCAGGTGTGCAGTGACGGAACAGGATACAAATTGAAAGGCAATGATGACTGGAAGTCGATTGCCAGCTGAATTAGCATGACTACTTCCTTTCGCAAGATAAATCCATCAATTATTTGCATAATGGTCCAATTCACTATTTTGGATCACATTCGTGGCGCTGCCTTCTAGCTGCCATCGGGTTTGTCACAATGCAAACACTCCCATCCTTATGAATGGGACACCTGCATATATCTAAAACAAAAGTTGATTGGCTACCCACGCCCATAACCCGTCTCCTTGAATGAAGGGCTCATTGCATCATCCAGTTATCCTCGTGCGAGCAAATCACGGATAATGCGCTCCAATTAACGCCATTACTCACCTCAACCAAGAGCACGGCCGCTAGGCCATAAAACGTGTACACATAATCAGCGGTAACCTGGTCCAATGAATGAACAATGAACGGGAACGGATAGTGCGCCCGCTCCCAGCACCCACTGATAGCATCCCAGGGCAGCTGGTGCCGGCCGCGCACCAACAAAGGGTCACCACGTGCTAGCGATACTATCTCCGCCAGATTGCCGTCATCTTTGTGAGGGAACAATCACAGCCAGTTACGAATAATTGCTTTACAACCCTCCGTACGCGACAGGCCTCACAAATGCTTCACTCATCGTTCTTTTTGTCTCTGACGTGCCCCATTCACTGAAAATACGCTTTATTTTCGGCTCTTCAAACCAGGACCGACTAGCCCTTCAAACCAGGTAAGACTCTCGAGAGACCTTTCACAAAAGAATGACGCTTCACAGTTCACAGCGTTGCATACAAATTGGGACTCTCGCAACCCTGTCACACCGGTTTGAAGCCATCAGCACATCGTCGAGGCTGGAGCACCGTTACCCTGTACGTGACTGTCTTGTGTCCCAAAGCCCAAGGGTACGAAACCCCGCCAAGGACTGGCACTGAGACCACACAATAGCAACGAAAGTCATGATTACACTCATCAACACCACTGCAGTTACGACCTAGTTCATATCCTGCAAGTGTAGATGTCTGCTGATGACTCATCTTGGCATGCATGCCTTCATTCATTCAAACATTCAAACTCATTTGGCCACGGCCGTGACCTGACCTTGGGTCATTTGAGGTGGAGACGTCCGGCAATTACCGGCAAGGCAGGCGAACCGGTATACAGGGCTCCATGTTACTACTCAAGGTAAGGCTGGCATCCACAACCACCTCAGCTTGGCACATCAAATTGCCGTCGTCACCAGCTTTCATTGGTCCCAACTCCCAACACCCCATATCACGCGCCACTACATCCCATCCTTTCCTGCAGTGACGTCACTCTCTGACACTTTACTCCAGCCCCGCCTTACAGCCCCGTCTCTCTGAGACCCACCTCATCAGCATCAGCCGGAAGGTCAGGTAGTCCACCAGCACCTCCAGTCCGCTGTTCTGATCGCTGAGGAACTCCTGCACCCATCTGTGAACGAACGACAAACACCACACATCAAATGACATTCGGTAATGACACCTAAAACGACACACAAACCAATCTCACGCAAATTTTCCACCCTCTCTAGTGAACTATTTAAACAATACACAACATTCTACTGCCACGCGTTTCCCATCCTCGACGATATTTCATAATTCACACAGCACGAAACCATACCACTGCTAAAACTTGCGCGATAGTTTCCAAACACCGACACATTTTATTGTTCTGGCGTATATTTTCATGTCATGCTTTCAGAGAAATGAGTTTGAATAAGGAAGGTCTGGTCGAGTCACTGCGAGGGTTCAGCAGTTACCTGGCGAGTGAGCAAGGTAGCAAGGGCCGGGTGAGCTAAAAGCACCGATTCACAAAGTGCACTATGGAGCACGATTCGACTTTCGGTATGGAAGCAGTTGGGGCCAAATAAGGCTTGAACATCGGCAAAAAAAAAACTATCAAAACGCACGGGCAGACTGCCACATAATGGAAACTGGCACTCGGGAACGGGACTTTCACAGTGGTCTCTATTATCGAGCTGTTGACAGGACAATCTATCAGACTCCAGTCCAGGCACTTTCAGACACTTCCCGGCGACAGAAACTGCTACTTAGAATTACTTAAACCAGGACAGTGGAACAGATACCATCTACGTAGGCACATCCGTGTACAATGAACATCCGTGTACGTAAAAGAAACACGTTAAGCAGCGGATGTACTGCTCGTGTCGAGCCTAAAAAATACAAGCACAAAATCTGCTAGCTTTGAACGGCAGGTGAATTTCCCTGTCATCTTCTCTTCTGAATCCAGCAGAAACTGCAACACAGAACAGCTATCCAACCTCTTCGAGCACTGAACTAATACGTCCCTCTCAGACAGCATAGGCGGCGGAACGGGGCGGGCACCGGGGCACCGTGCCCCTTTGATTTTGACATTTTAGCATTAGCCCTATGGGCGTTGCATGGAAAGAATGGGACCAAAAGTCGGCAGTGCCCCCCCCCCCCCTTAATTGAAGGTGTTCCGCCGCTACTGTCAGACAGGACAACCAAAAAGCAGCCGCCCAGACCAGCCGAGACGTCACGTCTCTTCAGCCAGTTACTGTTCACAGCGCAGCTCCCGATGGACACATCACGAGGTAACGCAGTCACACAATGACAGCGTCACGAGTTAACGCCGTGTGACGCCGTGAGACCACGGGAGTCACGCCCGAGGAGCGCAGAGTTAACAATCGAGCCACACTTCCATCAACAGACGCGCCACTATGTTTTGCGCGCCACCAGGAGAGAAAAACAATGAAGAAGTGAGATCAAACATGAGGAAAGTCACGCGCCTCTCCTCAAGTTGCAGCTCAGTTGTTTGGAGGTCTCTTTGTAGTTTGTACGTACCCATAATGTATGACCCTTATGTGCGACGTTGAGTTCATGCGCCGCCTACATGTTCAGATCAAACGCTAGCCATTCACATGCCTACATATTCTGACCTAGAGTTCCTTTTTTATACGCAGTCGACAGAAAGCCATTGACGGCGTGTCTTTGAAGACTTTGAGATTTAGGGAGACATGTGACCCGCTAAAAGGGTTCAAATAACACGGTCCGCGGAGTAGCGGCAAATAGCCGCCGGATGGTGGTCGATGGTCGATAACTGGCGGTCGATTGGTCCGCTCCATTATCGGCCGGGCGGTTCGCTCCAATCTCACCGGTCCTGGCCCGGTTAGAGCCCGCGGCCCGGTCACACACCTCACCAACGGGGTCGGGAGGAACCAATCACGGCCTCGACCGGTCCCAATCACAACATAAAACACCCAACCGGGCCGCTAGATTAGGTCCGACTTCAAACAGACCGAGCATTGCGAAACGGCGAAACGGCGAAACACTTCCAATATTGCCACTCCTTTACCAACAAAATTTCGCTTCTCTAAAGCGCAACTGACCACCAGAAGGTGGTGGTTTATTTCAGGGTTTATTCATATGGATTCACTGATAGCCCGTCTGTCCAGCATGACGAGGTTTCAAACAACACAAGCCAGTCGCTCCACGGACAGCGCGGCGGTGCCCCTCCAGTCGGCAGCACGCCACCCGGGCCAATTTGGCCGGCCAATTTCGGGTTTCCCGCACCACACCTGGACCGCGACGGAGCGTCCCTGGGGATGGGGGGCGGGGGTGGGGGTGGGGTCCTCCTCATGGCCAGCCAGCTGACAGCAGGGTGAGGTGGAGGAAGGGGAGGCGCCGATAGAAGAGGCACGTGCCCTGGTGGGTGGTCAGTGGGGGGGGGGGGGTGGAGGGAGGAAGGGGAGGGGTCCGGGTGCCCACCTGCCTCCCCCAGGCAGATTCTCCCACACACAGCGAACTAAACACGACCAACGAATGCACCTGCCGATCAAATAAGCAGCATCTGCCGGATGCGTGTTCCGTATACCGGAGCCTATCGGTTACGAGCCGTCTGATTCCTTCGCCAGCTTCAATTCAAGACTGACCGCAGGACGAAGTAAGCACCAGCCTACGGCGTGACGGCACCCCCGGCTAGTCACGGCGTTATCCGTCCGTGACGGTCGAAACAAAGCGTCACGCTCAGCCACCGTCACCGTCCCGGTCGGGCCGGCAGCGGGGGCGGGGGGGGGGGGCGTCATCAAAGGGACCGCCGGGCGCGGCGGGGCGCAGACTGGACCCCGCGCAGGGGCGGAGCCGTCAGCGACACCGGCGCGTTCAGGGGAGAATGGAAGGGAATCAGAGCCAGCGGCCATCGACAGAACAGAGGGAGGGACATTGGGCAGCGTTACGCTTGGTATTACTGACGATAGGCACGACGGGAGCAGGCGTCATGCGTCTATCGCAGGACAGTGGGTCCACGAGGGTGCGTTACTCTCAGACGAGGGGCGTCAGGGGCGGCGGAGGGGCGTCACGGACGATCGGCATCACTACCCGGAGCGGTCCGAGGCAGCTCGTTCCAGTTCACGGACCGGTGGGCTCTGTCCACAGTGGAGAGGCTCACTACACATGTCACACGAGGAGGGAGCTGAGGAGGCCACTGCGTCCTCCGCGCGTCTGCTGCGCCACGCCAGTCAGCTGTTCGGCGCATGTTCTCTCAATGTTTCTGACCGTGCAGCTGGTAGAAGGACCGACCGTCGTCGAGAGACCCTACCTAGGGACGAGTCTCAGCTGAGCTGAGAGAGATGCTGTAAAGAGTCGTGTCTGTTTACGTTATTGATGTTTCGAGGTGTGGCGAAGCCGTGTTTCGACGAGAGCTACAGTTATCCCCCGGCGGACTCCACAGCTACATGAAAGGATACATGCGAAACCAGGAGTACCGACACTAACTCTATCACTGTAACACACCATTCTGGTCAGACGCGCGGCTAAAGATGCCGCCCAACCGGTCCTATCACCAATTCGATGAAGCACGGCGACAAAAAGACGCATAAACTCGGCAGGACCAGCCTCCCGACCGGCTGAACATCCAGTACACCAGCAGAGGTGAACTCCGAAAAAACAAGGCTGTCCACTGCGCTTACCAACCGTCCAGGTAGCAGTCGGTAGATCTGCGGAAGAGCGAGCGTCGACCGACGAGTCATCGCGGACGGTCGGTCGGCGCTCGACGGCCCTGTTGTGAGTTCCCTCCCCAGCGCGCCCGCGTCAAGGTCGTACGATGGACAAAGAGGTCCGGCCGGCCTGTGAGCCGCTGCGACCGGATTTCCTGTGGCCGAGCGACTCAGCTAATGAGTCCAGGTGAGTCGAACGACGGTGGGTGGGTGAGTTGACTCACAGGTGACTCGGTAAGAGAAGTGATCCACACAAAATAGACTGAGAGAGGCCCGAACGATGAAAGTGGGCGTTTGACAGTATCGGTCGGAGAAACTCCCTACAAACAGCTAAACGCCGCCTTGTGACGCTAATAGCAAGCCGCGTCTGCGACCGGTCTCGATACACTCTGATACATTATCGGACGCTGGTGACAGGTGTAGGTAGTGAATGTTGTGAAATAATATGCCATTATCGGCTTCAACTGTCAGGTAATGACAGGGTTTAAAACACAGCAATAGACCGTCGATAATGCGTTCGTTGTAAAACTTAAAATGACAAAAAGGTTAAGGTGAAAAGGTAGTTTCAAAAAGAACTTAAATCCAGAGAACGTAGTAGCCCTACAGCAACACAAATCATTTTCTTCAAAAATATCGGCAGCATCAAGTGCATACCTAATGCTAGAAGTCTATCCCATTCGTCCTTCAGACAGAGACGCTTAGGACGTCGCCGGCTGGGGTAGTACAGACGCCGGCGGCTCGGCGGGGGGTCCAGTCGCCTGTCCCGAACCCATGACCACCCGTCCCCAGTCCCCGTCCCCAGCTCCGGGGCCTGCCGGCGGACCCAGGCAGACCTGCCGGGCGGGGGATCGAAGGGAGGCCTCTACCAGATGGCGACAGCGGCACTAATCCATCGGAGCCGGTGTGCATGAACAGAATGAGCCTCTTGGTCCAATCACAGCTGTTGGGTGATGAGGAAAACAGCGGACTATCGCGGACCACCGCCGCAGGCACAAAACTCGTGGCAGCTGAGAGGAAATCTGCACAGCACCTGAGCAGCTGCTGTTCTGTTACTCAGCTACCGGCGATATACCGATAATTATTAAATTTGAGCAAACGAATCTAAGCCTGTTCGAGCATCGCATCCTAAAATCACCCATCTGTATAATCCGGTCTGCACTTTGCCGTTGACATTTCAAGGATAACACCAAACCCCGTCACCGCGCCGTCCCCACCCCGGGTCCATTTCAGCCCAGTGACAGTCCAGTCTCCGGGGATCTCTCCTGTCATCAGAGAGCCATCCCTGTCCCTCTCCCCAGGACGCCGCACTGGGGCGTTTAATCAGTGCCGACTGCGAGGGTGGCGGCGGCGGCGGCGGAGCAGGGGTGACCAGGGGCGTCTCCCTCGTCCTCCCAGCACGGCGGCCGTGTCTCGCACACTTGACACACCCTCCGGATGGCAGACTGACAAAAACTCA